GATCATGATAGAAGTGTGTGGGGGAAGCATTTAAGAACTAGAGGAAAGTTATATGTTTCATCATTGCTACCCTGCACCCTGACTGGCTCATCTCCTCTCCACAACCCTTCAGTGAGGGTGTGTCCAGTTGCCTACCGATGGGCTTTGAGTCTCCACTCTGCACTCACCCACCTTTACAATGATATGACTTTTTTGTTCTTTGATGCTTATCGAACAATCAATCAAGAGTATCCCTTTGTTATTGGTAGGTGCTGTGAGGTAGTTAGTTTATTGTGTCAACCTGGCCAATAAACACATGTGGGGTTAATTGAAGGGCAGTGGGATAAATGGCTTGGTAAACCTCGCCTTTCTAGTTCTTGGGTCTCTTGCTTTCTGATGGTTGGACCAGGGTGCAGCTGCCTTAGCCAGTTCCCTGCTTCAGCTGGCAAGGCTCACTTCCTGTGAGACATCCCTGAGGAGAAGCTGCATGGACCTACCCTGATGCAGCCCTGGGTGCTGGAGCAGCGTGGGGAGACCCCTGCTAGCGCCGAGATGCTTACATGTTCACTGACTCAACTTTCCTCCTGCAGTTGGCGTCCACCTGTGTCTTTTGTGAGATGGAGGAGGGCTTTGTGGATCGGTGTTGGACATAAGGGCTAATGCTGGACTTGTGAGCTTGGGAAGCACTGGGTTGGGATGTTTTCTTGATGTGCACTTAAACTTTATATAAAACTCTCTTATACATGAGTTTCTGTGGATTTTTTTTCTCTAAAGTACCCAGACTCACACATGTTTCGCGTTGGTTCTGACCCAAGTCAATCCTACTCACAACACTGCGCGGTCTGGAGCCATCCTCAATATTGCTACATTGTTCGAGCCCACAGTTGCAACCACTGTGTTAAACCATCTAGTTGAGGGTCTTTCTCTTTTGCGCTGCCCCTCTACTTGTCTCCTGAAACATGTCTAAAGTAATTGAGATGAAGTCTCACAGTCCTTGCCTCTAAGGAGCATTCTGACTGTGCTTTGTTCTTTTTGCAGTCCATGGTACTTTCAATATCTTGTCAACACCCACAGTCCCAATGCATCAATTTGTCAGTCTTCCTTATCCAATGCCCAACCTTCATATGCATATGTGATTGAAAATATTAGCCCTCAGAATAACATCTTTGGTTTTCAACACCATAAAGAGATCTCATGCAGCAGATTTACCCAATAAACTGTGTTCTTTGATGTCATAACTTCTGCTTTCATGAGCACTGATCTATGGATCCAAGCATGACAAAATCCTTGACAACTTCAAACTTTTTTCTGTTTATCATGATGTTACCTACTGGTTCAGGGGTGAGGATTCTTTTCTATCACCAAGACCATATTTTCCAACCACTGTTCTTTCCTCTTTGTTTCCTACTTTTGCATTCCAATAGCCAATAATTATCAATATATCTTGATTGCACATTTGATCAATTCCAGGCTGAAGATGTTCGTAGAATTCTTCATGTTCTTCATCACTACCTTTTGTGGTTGGTGCATATATTTGAATAATAGTTGTATTGACTGGATTTCCCCCAAAGCAGATAGATATAATCCTATCGCAGACTCCTTGTATTTCAAAATAGAAATTGAAATGTCCTTTTGACTATGACTGCAAAGCTGTTCCTCTTGTGTCAGTCCTGGTAAATTACACCATACAATTTTCAGATACAAAATGACCAATACCATTTCAGCTCTCCAAATACCTTGGTTATCAATCCATTTCATTACAAAGACTTCTAATTTTCTTAGATTCATACTCTGTACATTCCAAATTCCAATTACTAGACTTTTGCAGCAGCTTTTTCTTACGAGTTTGTCCCATCAGCTAATTCAGATCCAGAAGGCTCCAAGCCCACAGCTTTACTCCATTCATGTTACTATTGTTGATTCTACTTTGACAGCTACTGCCTCTGAAGTTGGCAGTAGAGTCATTTTTTGGCTAGAGAACCCATGTTCTGGGAATACAATCAAATCCTGTCCGACTCATAACAACCCCATGCCCAACTCACTGAAACACTGCTTATTCCTGTACCATCCTCATAATCATTTTTATGCTTGCACATAAACACATTTTTACATTGCTGCCACGATGTCTGTGTCAATCTACTGTGTGGAGGGTCTTCCTCTTTTTCACTGCCCTCTACTTTACCAAGTATGATGCTCTTCTCCAGGGGCTGGTCTCTCCTGATCACAAGCCCAAAATACACGAGACAAAATCTCAGCAGGGGGAGGGAAGGGAAGGGGGAGGAAGGGGAGGGGACGGAGAAGGGGAATGAATGACAATGACGGCAGAATAAATCCCCTTGAGGGGGACAAAAAACAGGACATTAGGTGAAGGGATAGAATGGGTGGTAAGATATGTATAAATTATATATATCTATATATAATATATATCTATATATATCTATATCTATCTATCTATATATGAAGGGCTTGTGGGGATGGCAAGGTGGGGGAGGGAGGGAAAAAAGAGGAGCTGCTATCAAATGGCTCAAGAAGAAAGAAAATCTTTAGAAATTGTTGACGCCAACAATTGTATATGTCTGCTTAAGATAATGGATGTGTGGATTGTTATAATATATGTAAGAGCCCCCAGTAAAATGTTCTATTTAAAAAAACACCTCATCATTGCTTCTAAGGAGCAGTCTGGCTATATTTTTTCCAAGACATATCTTGTGTTAGTCTGGGTAGACCAGAGAAACAAATCCATAGACACTCATATGTGTAGAAGAAAGAGCTTTATCTACAAGATCAGTTAAATATTGAGAAAAATCCCAGTCCAGTCCAGATCAAGTCCATAAGTCTGATATTAGCCCTTATGTCTGATACCAATCTATAGAGTCCTCTTCAGACTCACAAAACACACGCAATGATGCCAAGTGCAGGAAGATCACAGGCCAGTGAGTGCAAAGTCTTGTGGATCCAGTGGCAGTAGAAGCATCTCAGCACTGGCAGGGGTCTCCATGTGGCTCCCCCAGTTCCCAGGGCATGGGGTCTATCATGTGCCATGTGCCATGTGGCTTCTCCTCAGAAATGTCTGCCAGGGGGTGAGCCTTGTCAGTGGAGCATCTCTTAGGGAGCAAGCAGAGAGAGAGAGTCTCTCCGGCCTCCAAGGAGGAAATCTAGGAATTCCCAGAATCCTCAGGGGAAGGCCAGGCTCGCACAGAGGCCTCACTGGGAATACAAGATTGACAGACTAGACTCCACCCCTTCAGTCTTAATCCTCTCAAGCCGGAATTGACACCAGATTATGTAACTACTATATATAATTTCTTGGCAGTCTATGGTACTTTTAAATATTCTTCACCATCACTGTAATTCAAATGCATCGATTCTTCTGCAGTCTTCCTTATTCATTATCCAAATTGCTTATGATTTAGTATAGTTAACATATGTTGATACCTCTAGTTGTTTGTCTGAATCTCATTAGTCAATAGATTATTACATAGGAAAGACTCATGGGACTGCTATTCCCTAAACATGAGTGCCTGTTTTTTTAATGGAACTCTTTATATCCAGTTGCTCTTCCACACAAAGCAGTTATGAAAGCATTTTCAGTTCCTAGATATCTGTCTTTGGCATGCCTGTTTTATTTTGTATTTTGGCATTACATTCCTTTTTCAAAACGTTGGTTATGCTATTGTCTGACATATAATGTGGTAAAGCCTTTTTACTTTCTTCAGTTCAATACATTTTCATCAGTTATGAGAAAAGCATACAAGAGGCAGGGCACATAAAGACATTTACCCTTCATTTTTCCTCTTATCTACTACTGCTGAAAGCTGTGGGAGAACTTTAAGGAAAATCAGTTATTCCTTCTTCATTATGGGGATTCTGAATTTCTTGCAACAGTTTGGTGAAATTATACCTCCTAACAAGGCAGTAAATATAGTCTCACCAAGCATACAGACTAGAAATTCATGACTTCGTACTTTTGTCTATGTGCTCAGTCTACACTGTGATTTAAGTCATTATCTGCTTGTCAAGTTCAGGCACAGACTTGTGGTGGGCTAGCCATACTTATGACACCAGGAGGAGGAACTTTTCTGGAAAATCCATTAACCATTGCCATGGGTACTAAGACAACATTCATAGCATTCAAGTATCTATAGCATTTCAAGGAATCCATGCACAGGTCTTACCAAACCAAACTCACTGCCACGGAGTCGACACTGACTCATAGCAACCCTGCAGATTACAGCACTGACCCAGTGGGTTTCAGAGACTGTACGGGAGTAGAAAGTCTCAACTTTTTTCCGGGGAATGGCTGGTGGATTCTAACAGCTGACCTTGAGTTTAACAGCCCAACACGTAAGCCACTAGTCTACCAGGGCTCCTTACAAGCATATATTGTGTTCTCTTGTGACTCTGATATTTCAGGACCAACATCTCAAGAATCCTCCAACTTCCTCTATCATTTCACTTTACTTCCAACCCGATCCTTCTTCCATAAAGGTTTGTCAATGCCCCTCATGAAAGGTGGCCAAGGGGGGTCGGGGGCGGTTAGGCAAAACAGTCTGTGCTGAGGAGAAAAATGAGATTCTGGTCAAACAATGGTGAGGTAGCCAGTGACTTACATTTACCCCAGGTCAAAGCTAAAACTTTAATCACAGGGTAAAGTTTAAAGAGCATGCAAGAACCTATCTCATTTGTGCCATCAGCCACGCCTCCAGCGGAGCAGCCATTTGGTATAACCCCAGAAAAGTGATATTCTATTTTTAACTAGTCCAGTCGCACTCCCCTCACCTGAAAATTAGGTTGGCACAGATGCAAGCATAAATCGGAGAAAACACAGTAGGCGAGAGTAGGTTTCTCTCAGTTCCGGGGTCGACGAATAGATAACGACCACGTCACGGCTGAAGGCGGGGTTAGGCTGGGTTACGTCAGCGCGCCGACTAGGCGCCGGATGTAGAGTTTGCGCATGCTCACCGGAAACGCTGGCGGTCGTCGCTTCCGGCGAGAGTTTCCTCCGGCTTTCCGACGGATTCCCGAGACGGGGTTAGCATTACCAAGGAGCCGCCCGCTTCAGACGGGCAAGTGCCGCAGATGTTGGCCACTGTTGTTCGCTCGCGTTCAAAGTAGGATGCAGTCGTGTTGCTATTTTCTCTCGATTCTCCGGAATCTTGAATTCTGAGAGCAAGGTTGAGGTAGCGGAGAAGCTCTGGTTACTGTGGTAACTGCGTGACGCCGGTTTCGGACTTTGCCAGTTAGGTAAGGGAGATCTCTAACCATCCCTTTAAAATACATTGTTGGTCCGATTCAGATTCAGTGCTTATATAAAACCATGCTCGTAAACATAGACTTTGGTTTTACAAAGTTTGCTTTGGCTATAAGAGGAGAGGCAAACTGAGGCAAAGTAACGAGAGCGACTGCGGTAGTCCAGGAAAAGCGGGAAAGTGACTTAAAAGAAGGTGTGAGATGGAAGAGGGAAGATGGGATAAGTATGTGGAGCAGTAGATAAAAAGATGATTGCATTTCTGGATTAAGATGTACCTGTTTTTAGTTTGGAATAGTGGGTTACGAGTTGGGCAGCTAATCTCAAGGTTAGCAATTCAAACCCACCAGCTGCTCTGGGGAGAAAGAGAAGTCTTTCTGCTTTTATAAAAAGAATTACAATCTCAGAAACCCATATAAGGCAGTTCTACACTGGCCTTTAGGGTTGTTATGAGTCAGAATCGACTCGATGGCAGTGAGGTTTTACTTTTTCTTCAAAGGGAAGATCAACAATTCAAACCCATCAGTAGTTGATTCCCTGAAGAAATATTTATAGTCTTGAAAACCTGAAGGAGCCGATGTACTGTGTCTGTGGGGTCACAAGGAATTGGAATGGGCTGAATGGTGGTGGATTGGGTGAGTAATCAACAGTAACTAATAATTCGTTGAGTATGGGAGATTAGGGAGAGGGACCCCGGGCATCTTTGGGAGCAAGTCCATTATACGTAGGTTCATTTTTCAACATCAGCTGTTGTTAGAGGCCATTGAGTCGGTTGTGACCCATAGAACATAACAGAGCAAAACACTGCCAGGTCCTGCTCCAGTCTCACTATTGTACCTAATCCTGAGCCCATTTTTGTAAACACTGTGTCAAATCCATTTATAGAGGACCTTCTCCTTGGCTGCCCCTCTACTTTACCCAACTTGATGTCCTTCTCCAAGGACTGGTCTCTCCTGACAACATGTCCTAAGTACATGAGATAGACATCTTTCTTCTAAGGAGCATCCTGGTTGTACTACTTCTAAGGCAGATTTATTAGTTCTTTTGGCAGCCCATAGTACTTTCAGTATTCTTTGCCAGAACCAAAATTAAAACACATCCATTTTTCTTCTGTCTTCTTTATTCAGTTTCCATCTTTCATATGCATATAAGGTGTTTAAAAATACCATAGCTTGGGTAGGGCACACCTTTAGTGCTCATGGTAGCATCCTTGCTGCTTAACATTCTAAAGAGGTCTTGTGTAGCAGATTTACCCAATGTAGTGTGTCCTTTGAGCTCCTGACTGCTGCTTCCATGAACATTGATTGTGTATCCAAGCAAGACAAAATCTTTTAACAACCTCAAATGTTTCTCCATTTATCACTGATGTTCCCTGTTGGTCCACTTGTGAGGATTTTGGTTTTCTTTATATTGAATTGTAATACATATTGAAGACTGCAATCCTTGGTCTTCATCAGCAGGTTCTTAAAGTCCTCCTCACTTTCAGCAAGCAGCATCAGTTACAACTGCATTTCTCCATCCATGTCAAACTCTATTATATTCTTTCTCTTTCCTAGAATATTGCCCTCACCTTTCTAACCATGGGCAATTTAGTTACCTTCACTAAGCCATTTTATTTTCCTCCATTTTAATGTTGAAAAACTACGGGATACTTTTAGGAAATAGAACATCAAATTACTGGTCATGGCTAGAGTGTGAGCGATGTGTGGAGGAGGGCAGTAGCTCTAGAAAGAAAGTCATGCCAGGCTGAATTTGGACTTGCTTCCAGAGATGCACAGATCTCTTTCCCTAATTCCCACATCCAGTTATTAAGTACAAGTGATACTATCTCCAAGTATGTTTCTAATCTCCTCTCTCTAGGATTACTCTTAGTTAATTTAGCGTTACATTAGTTCATTATATGCCAAGCAAAAAGTAAGGACCCAAAACGTAGTAGCAGCTACTATGCCTATGGTGTTGGTGAAGAATATTGAAAGTACCATGGGCTTCCAGAAGAAGAAACAAATCTATCTTGGAAGAAGTATAACCAGAATGCTCAATAGAAGTAAGGATGGCAAGACTTTGTCTCACTTACTAAGAACAGAGACCAGTTCTTAGAAAGGGACATCATGCTTGGTAAAATAGAGGGAGCAGATAAAGAGAGGGAGACCTTTAATGAGATGGATTGACACATTGACTGTAATAGTGGGCTCAAACATAACACATGTGAGGATGGTACAGGACCGGGCAATGATTTGTTCTGTTATACATAATTGAATTTTTTTTTCTTTTAAAGAAGCTACCAGTACAATGAATTTTTCTGATCTAAATTATATTTATTAGAAAAAAGGTGATGACTTTTCTGTGTGAAATAGGTATGAGTAATTTCAGTGATGAATTGACGAGCCCCGTGGCAGAGGCCAAAGGAGTGGAAACTTCAGTGCTCTCTGGTACAGGGATATATATTCCATGGCTCCAAAAGCAGATGGACATGGTGGGTAAGTAAAATAACATAGAGCCATTGTAACAATGCAAGGACATGATACAACTCAGTGTGAATACAGAATGAATAACCGAGTTGGGAACAGCTTTAGTTTTAAAGATGGGAATATGTGTGTCTTTTATTATTATTTTTTTTTAAACTAGGGAGTCCTGGTTAGTGGTTATGTATTCATTGAAAATTCAGCAGTTCAAAACCACCAGCTGTTCGTTGGGAGAAAGATGAGGCTTTTTCCTCTCGCACAGAGTTACATTCTCAGAAATCGACAGGGGAAGTTCTTCCCTGATTTATAGGGTCTCCATGAGTAAGACTTTTTTTTTCCATGAGTAAGTCTTGACTCAGTGGCAGTAAGGCTTTTTTTTTAGCTGCAAGCAAAACAATACATTTTTTTTAAGTTGATTTTTTTCCCCCTCTCAGATTTTTTTTTTCCCCTTTGAATTAATAGCAAGTAGTCCATGTTGTGGCAATTGTGATTTGGGATTGACCAAGGAAAGAGATGTGACCATGATACAGCATTGTGGCACCACAAGCTGCTTATTGCGCAGCAGGCACAGCGAGCCATCAGAAGTGGAAAAGGGCATGAAAGACTCCGGTACAGAAGGGAGAGAAGGAAAGCTTACATACCCTTGGTGGTGTCGTCCTGCAGCGAAGTGGGAAGTCTCTGAGTCAGAACTCCAAAAGCAGTGGTACCTTCCTAGCTACAAAAAAGCAGCCATCAAGTAAATTCCGATTCATAGTGACCCTTCTAGGGTAGAGTAGAACTGCTTCTGTGGGTTTTCAAGGCTGTACCTTTATAGGAGTAGAAAGTCTCATCTTTCTCTAGCAGAGTGGCTGGTAGTTTTGAACTGATAATCTTGTGGTTAACAGTCCAATGCATAACCCAGTATGCTGTCAGGGAATCTAGTAGCACCTTAGGGTCCTTTTGACTATAGGATTTTGTGGTAGCTATTTTGGTGATGGGTACCCCTGGGGCTTATGTGTTGGGTTGCTGATTGCATGGTCAGCAGTTCAAATACACTAGTTTAGTGGTTCTTAACCTGTGAGTCGCAACCCCTTTGGGGTCATCGAACAACCCTTTCACAGGGGTCACCTGATTCATAACAGTGGCAAAATTATAGTTATGAAGTAGCAATGAAAATAATTTTATGGTGGGGGGGTCATCACAACCTGGGGAACTGTATTAAAGGGTCTCAGCATTAGGAAGGTTGAGAACTACTTCACTAGTTGCTCTATGGGAGAAAGATAAGGCTTTCTGCTCCCATTTTATATATATACATACATACCCCGGAAACCCAAAGGGTCAGATCTACTCTAGCCTGTAGGGGCCTATGAGTCAGAATCAACACGATAGTCTTGAGTTATGGCTAGCAGATATTGGGTGCAGTTTCTCTCACTCCGCCATCAAGTTGATGTTGACTCATAGTAACCCTGTAGGACAGAGTAGAACTGCCCTGTGAGTTTCTGGGCTGTAACTCTTTACAGGAGTAGAAAGCCCCATATTTCTCCCATGAAGCAGCTGGTGGTTAGAACTGCTGACCTTGAGGATCACAGGCCAGTAATACACCACCAGGGCAGTTTCTTAGGGTATGTGAAACTGATAGGCTTTTTTTTTTTTTTTTAATGTACTGCTTGCATGGTTTTAAGATGCCATATGAAATTTTTATTATGAGTGTAATAGTTGCAAAAGATAAATTTCCAACATATGTTCACATTTTACAAAATTTTATTACTCTTTTAAATGTAATCTAAATAGTATAGAAATGTGATACTTTCTATCATCCATTTTTATACTTTTCTATGTTCTTCTGTTTCACTCCTTGCATCAAAAATAATGTGTCTTCTTTTACACTTTTTGTTTTACTACTACCCTAGAATCATAAGTGTTTAAATACTAATATTTATTCCGACTAGAGACTTAGTTAATAATGTACCCACTTGATCAAAATATTGTATGTTATAAATTTTGTTAAATACTAAGCATAAGGAGTAACATTTTATTATTGTTTATCTCATTGTTAACACTTTTACCTGGGCTCCTTCATATAGGTACGATTGAATGCTATGTATTTCTAGAAAGAGAAGAGAGTATCAATTCTATTTTATTTTGTTTTAATTTGCTGTGAATTTGGAGAAACCATAGTCATGTAAGTAAGAAGGGAATAGATGGAGCTTAGCTATTGCAGTGTATCAGTTCTTTGAACTCCTAACTAACTCTTGAAAAAATTACAGTGATTTATTATAAAATGCTTAATCCTCTGCTGTTTGGATATGCAAATATTTGGAAATAACCTGACCTGCAAATGGACGTGTTTGAGCTGTTCGCGTTCTCACCTGTATGTTTTTACCCGCAATTTCAACTTAAGACAACATGTAGTGATTGTGATTGTGTGGACTTGATTATTGGCATAGGAAATTCATTTTAAGAAAGAATAAGAATTCTTTAAGATAGTTCACAGACTGCAAGTTGATTGCTTTAAAATTATTTTAAAGCAAGGTGCCCATGGTCTTTGTGTACTCCCGTGGTTCAGGGCACATGAGTCTAGAGTGGACTTGTGATGTGGGAAGTCACTCTGTTATTAGGACTGTACCCAAACCGAAATAGTCTTAACAAGGAGATTGCCAATACTAAGATGTAAATGGCAATGTCTAGAACTCTTTTAATTTAATTTACTCAATGGCATTGAGTTAGTGGAACTCAGTCTCTTTATAAATATAAAACCTCAACTCTTTTGTGTTATCAAAACATCTACAAATAATAATTGCCATGTTTGCTTATTGTTGACTTTTAATACCCATTCTAAGGACCTAGGACTGTGCTACTGAGGGACTCTTTAGGAAATTGCCCCAAGATTTTTTTAGTGCAAGAATGAAAGGGTGATTAATTCTGATACACAAAGTAGCCTAAGAAGACTAATAGATTTATGAAAAACAAGGTATTCTTTTAATTTGGTAGAAATAGCTTATAGCTGTATGGAAAGGCTTATTTCATGTGAACCTACTTTGATATTGGGGATGGGCTGGGTCAAGTACTATCTATTGTTCTACTTGTTAAAATGTTTGTTTGCTAGAATTAAGATGATTGAATCTTTGAATTTGGTGTCATGGTGGGTAAAGCTTCTTCTCTTCATCTTTATAGTGACTGGAGGCAAAAAGAAGAAGGATTTTGCTCAGACGACAAGTGCATGTTTAGCTTTGATTCAAGAAGCTCTGCTGAAGCACCAGTGGCAGAAAGCGGCAGAATATATGCATAGTTATTTTCAGACCTTGGAAGATACAGATACCAACAAAAGGCAGGCTGCCCCTGAGGTAAACCAAGTTTAAGTGTACTAGAAGAAATTGTATGCCAGCAAGTTTCTGCCCCTTGAGCTCTCTCTGCCTAGAATAGCTTTGTAAAATCACGAATTAATATTACCATAAACTACTTAGTTTATGGTAGTTTATGGTGGAGAATTTGCATCAGGGTATTTTTGTACTCTTTAAAAAAGCCTTAATTTTTTTTTTTTTAAAAGCCTTAATTTTTAAAGGGAACTGAAAGTACTTTGGTGGGAGAAAGAGCAGGCTTTCTACTCCCATAAAGGTGTACAGTCTTTGAAACCCCAGGGGCAGTTCGATTCTGTCCTATGATTCGAATCAACTGGATGGCAGTGAGTTTTAGAAAGTACATTGAACAAATGTGCTTGACACAATGGATGGATGTATTAATTGTGATAAGAGTTATACCACTCCCTAATAAAATGATTTAACAAAACAAAAAGAAAGTACATTGAACTTTGAATCCTCAGTTCTCCAATATTCATTCATTCCAATAATTTCCCCTTTTACAGAATGCTTCCCATCATCATGTAAACATGTTACTTCTTCCATGTTTAAATTGTTTCTTGACCCTGCACCCCTCACTAACTGTGCTTCATTTCCATGCCCCCTTGCAGCAAAACCCTTTGAAAGAGTTGTATATACCAGTTCTATCAAATCCTCTCCATTTAAACTCCCTTAGACCCAGCATCACCATTTGAACAAAACTGTGTAGTCAGCAATGGCCTCAGTGTGGCTAAGTCCAATGGCTTTCCATGTCAGAAGAATTAGCTACTATATAGCATTGAAACATTATTTGCATATATGTCATTATTTGTAATCCCTCATCCAATTTTTTTTGAAACAAGAAAAACACTGTTTTTGTGTCCCATTTGTGTCTCTTTTTTTCTAACTTCACCCTGTTCCTGCCCCCCACCCCCCGAACTTTGTTCTTGTTCAAATGCTGCCCTGTTGTTCCCAAGTGAATACCTCCCCAGTCTTATTGTTCACCTTGTAGACCTATGTATTGATGTTTGGCTAAAATTGGGGGTATGAGTTCAGTTTCTGTTCTGAAATTGAGTGGCAAAAGTGTGCAAAGATTGGAACCTTCATACACTGCTCGTGGGATTGTAAAATGGTACAACCACTGTGGAAAACAGTGTGACACATGCTTAGAATGTTTGAAATAGAAATACTATTGATCTAGCTTCCCAGTGGTGGTTTTATATCCTAGATAAAGATGAGCTATGACACAATAGATTTATGCACACCTATGTTCATTGCAGAACTGTTCACTGTAGCAAGATGATGGAAACAACGTAAAGGCTCTTCAACAGATAAAAGAATAAACAAACTATGGTGCATGGACACAATATAATATTATGCAATCTTAAAGAATAACAATGAATCTGAAACATCTCATAGTATGGATGAGCCTGGAGGATATATGCTGAGTGAAATTGATTATTCTAAAGGGACAAATTCTGTAGTAGACTATTATTGTAAAAATGTCACAAAAAAAGAAACATTCTGTGGTGGTTACATGGGTGGGAATTGGAGAGAGGATAAATCAGTGAAAACAATATGCTCATTAAGAAATCAGGAAAAAATGATCAAGGTAAGGGAGGACACAAAGAAGAGTGCTTCAGTTTAGCAGAAAGCCTCATCTCTTCCCTGGAGTGGCTAGTGTGTGTGAACTGCTGAACCTAAGGTTAGTGGTCCAGTGTTTACTTGACATCACCATCAGAGCTCTTTATCATAGCCATTACCTGTTGCCTTCAACTCGTTCGTAGGACAAATTAGAATTGCCCCTTTGGGTAGTAAATCTTTTACTGCCTCATCTTTCTCCCTCTGAGTGGTTGGTGGAGTTGAACTGCTGACCCCGTGGTAGCAGGTATCTCAACGAGTAATCCACTATGGGAATCCACCAGGGTTCCTATGTAGTCATTGAGTCAATTCTGACTCATAGCTATCAAAACAACAATGAGATATCATCGAACTCCAATGGTGATGCTCATTTAAGTCGATCTGTCAACAATATTAACAGTAGGTCACTTCATTTTGTATGATCAATTTTTTTATATGATTTTCAGGACAGTGAATTGTTTTTATTCATACATTATTGATTCTTCAGTTTCCTTTCCTGGTTGCTCTTGGCCTTTTTCCATGGGAGTGTCCCAGACTTCAATCGCTCAGTCCTCTTCTTTATATTTATCCACTTTTAGTGATTTCTTTCCATTTCCTCACCTTAAGTACGATTCCTAATTGTATACATTTGGTCCTGACTTTGATCTTTTATTTCCACATTCTTATTTCCAGCTGTTTATAACACATCACTAGTTATTTAATGATCATATTGTCCTAACTATGTCTAAAGTGAAACTCTTTGTCTTGACCCTTAAGCCTAATCTTCCTTACCTCAGTTTGGCTATTTTCTTTACCTAGAAGACTTTTTACTTCCTTCATTGCTAGACCTTGGTCCAAGCCATTGTCATCTCACCTAGTTAACTGCTTGCCCTTGTCTCTGCCTCCAATGTGTTTAAGAAAAAACAGCAGCTAGAAAAATCTTCCTCCATTTCAAATCGGCTTTATTGAAATGCGAGGGTAAGTAAAAAAATATTACCAAATAATAGAAGCCTGTATTAGACAAAAATATAAAAATGTGGGACTACTGTTTCTTCACATTTCCTCCATCTAGGTCCATACACTTCTGAAGCCTGTGTTCAGTCTCTAATCCTTCCCCAAAGAGTTCTGAGCTCTTCAATGTATACCACATCAGAATCAAAGCAGCAGTTTGGGCATCCTTGAGAGTGTCGGATCTTGCTCCTTTTAAGTGCCCTCTGAGGTTTCGGAATAAAATGTCTGGTTAGGATGAGGGCTGTAGAGTGAGTAGATGGGTAAGATTTCCCTGGAAAATGATCTTAGGCCAGCCCTTGCTGCCCTCAAAGACTGAGCAAATGTAATGCTGGAAAAAATTCTTCAGTGAAACTTTCTTGGCCTTTTTTTAGTATTGCACTTTTCCATTAAAAAAAAATCATTTTATTCGGGGCTTGTACAAGTCTTATCACAATCCATACATACATCCATTGTGTCAAGCACATTTGTACATTTGTTGCCATCATCATTCTCAAAACATTTTCTTTCTACTTGAGCCCTTGGTATCAGCTCCTCATTTTTTCCCCTCCTTCCCCGCCTCCCTCCTCATGAATTCTTGTTAATTTATAAAGGATTGTTATTTTGTCATGTCTTACACTGTCTGATGTCTCCCTTCACCCACTTTTCTGTTGTCTGGCCCCCTGGAAGGGGGTTATATGTAGATCCTTGTGATCGGTTCCCCCTTTCTACCCGACCTTCCCCTTACCCTCCTGGTATCGCTACTCTCATTGTTGGTTCTGAGGGGTTCAACTGTCCTGAATTTCCTGTGTTTCCAGTTCTTATCTGTACCAGTGTACATCCTTTGGTCTAGCTGGATTTGTAAGGTATAATTGGGATCATGATGGGGGGTGGGGAAGCATTTAAGAACTAGAGGAAAGTTGTATGTTTCATCGTTGCTACATCGCACCCTGACTGACTCATCTCCTCCCCGCGACCCTTCTGTAAGGGGATGTCCAGTTGCCTACAGATGGGCTTTGGGTCTCCACTCTGCACTCCCCCTCATTCACAATGGTATGATTTTTTGTTCTTTGCTCCCTGATACCTGATCCCATTGACACCTCGTGATTACACAGGCTGGTGTGCTTATTCCATGTGGGCTTTGTTGCTTCTCAGCTAGATGGCTGCTTGTGTATCTTCAAGCCTGGCATGTACATATGTAAATATATTTATGACAATGGGGAAATACATCTATGTGCACATGTATATATAAGTTTAGTATTAAGGTAGCAAATGGACATTGGGCCTTCACCCAAGTACTCCCTCAATGCAAGAGTACTTTGTTCTATTAAACTGACATTCCATGATGCTCACCTTCCCGACACAATCACTGAAGACAAAGACAAAGATGCATAAGCAAATGTGATGAAGAAAGCTGATGGTTCCCGCCTATCAAAAGATACAGCGTCTGGGGTCTTTTCCATTTTCTTAAAGCTTCTTTATAATGAGCTCCTATGATGGTCCTGTCTTTTAAGAAAATCTGTCAAGATTACACCTTTGTTGCTATAACCTTCTGCACTGTGCCCTCTGCCTTGAATTTAACTGGCCACTATTTTGATTGGACCTTCTTTTTGAAGCCACCTTAATAAGACTTAGAGCTCCACTGGTGTAGTGGTTACATGTTAGGCTGCTGACTACAAGGTCAGTAGTTTGAAACTACCTGCTACTCTGAGGGAGAAAGACTGGACTTTTTACTCCTGTTAAAAGTTACAGTCTCATAAGCCCACAGGGAAGTTCTACCCTGTTCTGTAGTTGCTATGAGTCAGTATCAATTCGATGGCAGTGAGTTTTTTTTGTGTTGGTTTTTTTTTTGTAACGAAGCTTAAGTGTATTACTGAAAACCTTGTCTGCAGCAATCTGCTGATTATGGAGACATGTTAAACATGTTTGGAAACAACCATTGCATGTATGAACTGAAACTATTAGTAATACTTTTTGACTTACCTGCGTAGTAACCATACCATCACTTAAATACCTGACACAGCTAAGAAAAAAATTTAGCCATTGTTAGGAAAGTTTAAGGACTAAAGTTAGATTAAGCATTAAAGTGTAATAGGCGTTCAGCTAGTTATTGACTCTTCATTTATAGACTTTGTTTCGTTAGATGAAGGAATTCATCAGTGGTTTACAAATTATCTGTTTTTAATTATCTAGCTTTCTGTTGAAAATATCGATGCCAGCGTTCCAACCATTTTTATTATTAGGTGCCATCAAGTCCGTTCCAACTCGGAGACCCCTATAACCATTACTGTGTTGGCGTTCATCATTGCAGCCACTGGATCAGTCCATTCATTGAGGCTCTTCCTCTTTTTCACTGACCTGCTTTACCAAAATGATCTCCGCCTCCTGCTACTGGTCCCCTCCTGATAATGTGTACAGAGTATGTAAGAGGAAATCCGTCATCGTCACACACAGCATTCTGGCTGTATTTCTTCCAAGACAGATTTTTCATTCTGGCAGTCCATAGTGTCTGTGTTATTTGGTGCTAACGCCGTGATTCAAAGGCATCTATTGTACTTCAATGTCTTGTATTCATTATCCAGCGTTCCTGTTCATAATTAGGTAGGTGAAAGTATCACAGCTGTGTCAGGACACCTTAGTCCACAAAATGACATCTTTGCTATTCGACACTCCTAAAGAGGTCTTTGGAAGCACATTTGCCCAGTTCAGCACATCATTTGATTTCTTGACTGCCGTTTGAGTCCACTTAGAGATAGTTCAGAATTTCGGTGTAGTGATCTACTTCCCCCAAATCAGCCAGTGTAAACCCCATGGAACGTAGTTGTCAGGATTCAAGGTTGATTTGATGTCAACATACAAGGGGGTTCTTTTCCAATGACCCTCGTATAGGTTGGTTCTGGCACAAGTCAAATACCACGTTTTATTGTTTGTTGTTAATTTTCATTCATTATTGCCATAGCATGCTATATAACTTTTTAATAGTCAATCATAACATTGAACATTGGGAGTGAATATGTGAGAAGGCTATTGCATATAGTATATGTTAAAAGGGATATAAAATGTACGAAAAAGGAAAACAACATATACACTAAACGGTTTTAAGTGCGGATTTTCATAAGTCATCGGGTATTTAATACTAATTTTATCAATTGAAAAGGTTAAATCACACAAAGTTTAATAGTTTCACTGGATAACATACAGTAAAATATTAACAGAATTATTGAGGAAAGTAAATGAAAGGTAGGCTTTTAAGTGGTATAAGCAGAAAAATAAATTTAAAATTACCTTTCCTAGAAATTGGTTGGGGCAAGAATCTTACATTTTGGTTGTGGTTTCTGCTGTGACAGATTATTTGGAGGCTTGGCAGTGAGATTCTATACTATCATCCCAAGAGCAACTTGGAGACTTTCGGCACCTTTGCGGACAGAATGAAAAATATTGGTGTCATGAATTACTTAAAGGTGAGCTCGGGCTTTGCTGATTTATATTTGCAGTGATAAGTTTTTTAATTCCTTGTTCCAGGCAGGTAATAATGTAAAAAGCATGGGCAGAAAATAAGACACCTGGAAAAATAAAAGAAGCTCAAAGATGGTAGGATTGTTTCTTACGTCATGGCTTCTAGTTCCTTCCACGTTCACTGGCATACCTCAGATCTTTCAGTCTGTCATTGTTTTTCACACTGTCTTCTGGAAGTTTATGCAAGTTATTTCTTAGTTGTGCCATTGTCTCATGTGTGTTCTCTTCCAGGCTATTTAAAAACTTTGATCGGATATCATGTTGTTATGCAGTTTATGTCCTACCACGGTCTTCGTGCAGCACATTTTGATCATTCGGTAGATAATCAGATACTTACTAATGATCTCCATGTTTGTGGGCTTTTCCTTTTTATTGTTGCAGATCTCCTTACAACATGCATTGTACCTGCTACATCATGGAATGCTTGAGGATGCGAACAGAAATCTAAGCCAGGCAGAGACATGGAGATACGGTGAAAAGTCATCTTCCCAGGAAATCTTAATCAACCTTATTCAGGCCTATAAAGGACTTTTGCAGTATTACACTTGGTCTAAGCAGAAGATGGAATTATATAAGCTTGGTGAGTGAAAATGAGTGAGCTTTTTCTTAGGGCAATGACACTGATACATAGGTGCAGAAGGAATTTTAAGAAGTAATTTATTAATCCCTTTGCTTCCAAGTCTGACTTTCTTAGATATTACAACTGACAGTTTTAATAATGTAAACTTTTTGACCATCCTGTATCATACTTGTAATATCTCAAAAATTTTCCCAAGTTTTTAGATTTTTCATAAGTTAAGTTCATGGCAGTATATATTATTTTTTAAAACTGAATTCCCCCCAAATTACAAATTTTCTACAGTAGGCATTATTACATATAATCAACATCTCCCTCTGTGTTAAGAATGGTGTTTAGTTTGTTTCATAGTGTTTTACCAAATAATGTTTAAAGAATATGGCAAAATAAAGTTGTTTATTTTGTATGTCCTTCTCAAACCCGATGCTCTTGTTCTCACTTTCAGTAATGATGGTCTTCTACCCACAGATTTATGTGGTTGGGGCTGTATGATTCTCTGCACGTTTCTTTCACATAGGTTGTTTTTCTCTAATTGTACATAGTAAAGAATCAGCCATCATCTGTGTTTTCCTGGGCCTTGTGTCTCTTGTTTAATGAACATTTTTTAAAGAATCACTCATGTTGATTATAGCTCTAGTTTGTTCATTTCTATGACTATGTTTCATGCAGCCCTTTCAGTTCTTATTTCTTCTCTTACCGATGGCCCTTTTGGTCATTCGTAACTCTGGGCTGCTTTGCCATGCATGGGCACGTGTGCTTATGCACCCAGCATGTGCTCCTATGAGTAGAAAGTGTATCCTCAGCTGTCATAGATAATGTGCTAAATAGTCCAGAGTGGGTCCAATAGATATAGTCCTACCAGTAGTTTAATAAGAGTTTTCTTTTTGTCTGTGTTCTCCCCAACACTAGCTATTGCTATATTTTTCATATTAGCCAATTTATGGCATATAGTAGTCTCATTTCTTGTAATAACTTTTGTAATAATTTTGTATATTGATATATAATTCATATACAAGTCACATTTCAAATGTGTAATTCCTTTTTGGGGGCTATGCTTCCAGAGTTGTGCAACTATCATCATAGTTGTAGGACAGTTTCATCACCCCAAATAGGAGCTGTTAAACACATCCTCTTGATCCTCCTTCCCCTGATAGACCACCTCACTTACTCCCTGCCATGGAGGCAGTTCCACCTCACAGTGACAGAGTAGAACTTCTCATGTGGGTTTCCAAGGCTGTAAGTCTTTACAGAGGCATTGGCCTTGTAGTTAGCAGCCCAATGCATAACCTACTTTGCCACCTAAATTCATATCAGATAATATGGTTTGTAAGTAGCTTCTTCTAATTTGTGGGATGTCTTTTAATAATTATGAATAGTGTTATCTTTAACTGGTGGCTAGAGTTCAGCAGTGAAGCCACCAGGACTAAGCCTTTCTTCACGGGGAACTTGTTGATGACTGATCCAGCAGTAGTCCTCGCGCTGAATGAGGTTCAAACATCTTGTTTTTGGGCAGATGAGGATGATTATGCATATAGCACTGCAACCCAGAATATGCTCAGCCAGAGCTGGAAGACATCTGTAAATCTTTCTGCATTGATTAAGATTCCTGGGGTTTGGGACCCTTTTGTGAAAAGTTATGTAGAGGTAAGACTTTTCTAATTTAGAAGAAAACTAATGGAGAAAATTACTAAGGAAATATAACTTCTCTTGTTCAGCTGTCTGAATAATTTATTTTAATTTTATGAGTATACTGTTAATTTTACTGTGTTTATTTTCATCAATAGATAATCTGCTGTTACAAATGCTTGTAGATAAAAGGAAGTATGTATAGTTGTAAATTATAGTGCTGGACTCTTCCTGAGGTTAAAAGGAAAGCAGAAGGACTTTTTATGATTTGATGAGGTTGATATAAAGGAAGAGAAGAAAATCTGAAACTAGGTCACAGTGTATGAGGTGAAGTATAATGGGTGTTTAGGAGGTTCTTAATGATGCTCTTCTATCCCAGGGTCCTTGTGAAAGGTATGCCTTTGGCACTGGGCTCTAGGAATAAATCTGGACTATAAACTGGGGACAGTTTGATGAGTGCTGAATTGTGCTGCCAAAAAATAACTTCTGAAACTAAATGCCAGTGGCTCTGGGAATTCCTGTGTAAAGATGGGACCCAAATGAGAAAAAGTATAATCTATGCACTCTTTTGAGGGCTGAAGTTATGTAGGGCACTGAGGTTAGTTGCTTTATGTGATCTTTTTCCAGCTAGTATTGTGCCCTGCTTTGAGAAACCTATTTCTTATAGGAACAGTTTTTCTGTTGAAGGCACTGCATTTTTTCAGTATCTAAGTATTAAGGGAAAAATGAGAAACCCTGCAGGCATGTTAACAAGTGATGTTCTGTGTTCCATAAAGCTTGTGACATAATGCTGGTCAACACAAACAGTGTGACATCACTGTTATTCCCTATGCGTATTGCTTGCCAGTTTTGAGATTTTTCGTATTTATCAGTAAAGTTATCTATTATCCTTTGTCTAGGTCTCTGATGACAGAATTTAACTAAGCGATTCTGACTTACTCTATACAGATGCTGGAGTTCCACGGGGATCACGATGGAGCCCGGGAGATCCTCACCAATTACGCATATGATGAGAAGTTCCCAACAAACCCGAATGCCCATATCTACCTGTACAGCTTTCTAAAAAGGGAGAAGGCACCCAGAGAGAAACTGATCAGTGTGCTTAAGGTATAGACTTTTTATGTCCGTGTTTGAACGGGGGTGAGAGTCTACTTTAAAAGGTTGTTAGGTCAGCGCTTCACACCTTTCCTGTTCTAGCGCCCAGAGAGCATGTTACTGAGGTAAGCGGAGGACATGTTCACAGCCACAGGATGTAGGTAGCCCTCCTTCCTTCCCACGTGAAACAGAGGAAAAGATCAGTATTTCAGCAGCTCCTTGCCGCCCTGCTTGGAAAGCACTACCTTTATATTTGTTTAATAAACAGTGTTTTGAAATGCAATTTACATACAGTTAGATGTACCTATTTTAAGGTATAGTTGGATGCATTGTGACAAATGTATCTATCTATGTAACCACCATGGTAATCAAGATAGAAGACATTTCCATCACCTCAGTAAGTTCCCGTACTCCCCATACAGCCAATGCGTCCTGTACCTTCCTGACCCCAGGCAACCACTGAGCGGCTCTCTGTCCTGTAGACATATTTCCCTGCTTCTGGAATGTCATGTAAATGCACTCCTGTCACAGTCATGTCTGGCTTCCTTTGATTAGCATGATGTTTTGAGATTGCTCCATGTTACTGCATGTATCAGTAATTTATTCCTTATTATTGCTTTGTAGTGATCCTATTTTATACCTTCACTTTTTATTGGACATTTGGGTTCGTTTTACTTTTTTGCTATTATGAGTAATGCTGTGATAAGCATCCAAGTATAAGTCTTTGTGTGCATATATATTCTTAATTCTTTTGCTTATACGTTTAAAGTATATATTTAACTTAAAAATCAACAAAATTGCCATCTGCTTTCTGAAGTAACTGTACTATTGGTACTTCTACCAACAATGTATGAAAGTCCAGTTTTTTTTTGCATCCTTACCAACTAACCCAAATCAAACCCACTTATTGAGCCAATTCTAACGCATAGTGATCCTCTACTTTAAATTTCATGGGAGCAGAGAGCTTCATGTTTCTCTAGCAGAACAGCTGGTGACATGGAGCCATGGGCCCTGCAGTTAGCAGCCCCGTGTCTAACCCACCGCACAGAGGGCGCTTTTCCTTGTTCAGTCTTTAAATTATAGCTCTTCTAGTGGGTGTGTCAGGAGAGTCCTGTTGGTGCCGTGGGTAAAGCACTTGACTGCTAACAGTAAGGTTGGCAGTTTGAACTCACCAGCTCTGTGGATGAAAGCTGTGGGCTCTGCTTCCGTCAAGATCTTCGTCTTAGAAAACCCTTTGGAGCAGCTCTGCTCTTTCTGTTCGGTCACATAGGGCTTCTGTGTTTTTGTTTTCATGTGTATGTAGTAGTATCTCATTGTGGTTTTAATTCTCATTCCATTATTGCAAATCATCTTCAGTATCTTTGGATGTGCAGTTAGCCCATCCTCTTCCTGTCTTCTGTTAAATATTTTATCTCTTGGGGAGGAGTTGTCATACTGACTTGGAGGAGTTGAGTTTGTTTTTTTACATTTTAGTGTTTTTAATATAACGGTGTGTGTGTGTGTATTGTTGTTGTGTTGTTGCTGCTGCTGTTGTTGTTAGGTGCCATCGGGTCAATTCCGACCCATAGCAACCCTGTGCACAATAGAAACAGGGCCAGGGGCTAGTGGGGGCTTGGGGGATGGAGGCGTTTGTGGTGGTGAGGGTTCAGTTATATGAATACTGAATATTTTCCCCCAATGTGTGGCTTGTCTTTTTGTTTTCTTAACAGAGTGGGATTTAAAAATTAAGATGAAATCCAATTGATGCAATTTTACCTCTTTTGGAGGTGGGGGTGGTTAGTGCTTTTTTTGTTTAAGAAGTCTGCCTACTAGAAGCAGTGGAGGCCTCATACATTTTTGTCTAGGAGTGGTAAAGTTTTATGTGTCGGTCTATGATAGACTTTTAGTTAATTGTTCTGTGAGTGAGATAAGGTCAAGATTTATCTTTACAAGATTGCTGCATCACCATTTATTGAAAAGACTTCTTTCTGCATTGAATTAGATTGGTAATTTTGTTGAAAATCAGTTGACCCTATATAGTACCAATACCATGTCTCTTGATTACTATAACAAACTCCGGAATCATGACCTGAAGGTCGTGTAAATTTGGCTTCCCTTTTGAAAATTAATTTTACACTTACTTTGAATTTCTATTTTGTGTATTTGCATATCTTTTGTTACAAAAAAAATCCTGCTGTGGTTTTGAACCTATAGATCAATTTGGAAAGAATTAACATTTTAACAATAGTGAAGTTTTCAAACTACAAACATGGTACATCTCTATTTCTTTAGGCTTTTAATTTTTCTCTGAGGTTTTTTTTTCCCCCACGAACTTTTTGTGGTAAAATATACATTACACACAGTTTGACAGTCCATTGATTGGTAATTAGTCGTACTTGCACTTGGTGTAACCATCCAACAGTATTTGTTTCCATAATTTTTCATTACCCCACATAGGAGGTTTGTGCCTATCCTCGCCCTCTCCCCAGGCCATGTAGCCTCTGAGCTATGGTCTCTCCTGATGCATTTATCTGTTCTACATTTTTTGGAATTTTAGGAGTTGTGTATTTCTAACATGGATGTTTTAATTTATTGCATTCTACTCCAGAGTTAATACTGTTGTACATTACATAAAATATAGCATCCTTTCATCAGTATGGTTTTATTTACTAACCTGTCCCTTATTTTACAGTGATACGTGTTTTTACGTATAGCAGAAACCCCATGGTAGATATTTTAAAAAATTTAGAGTCTTATGTCTTCCAAAGTAAATTGTTAAACAGAGAGTACACAGATACTCATTTATTTTCACCTGTATATTTATCATTCTGGTGCTTGTCATTCCTTCTTCTAGATTGGAGTTTCCATGTGATGTCATTTTCTTTCAGTCTGCAGAACATCTTTCAGCATTTATTGTATTTCCAGTTTGCTGGCAATGGCTTTTTGAATCTTATTTTATCTGCCGTTTGAGGGATAGTTTTGCTGGTTGTAGAATTCTTTACTGGCTTTCTTTTTTATTTCCATAACTGTTCGCTGGTGGTGCTGGTGTTTTCGTGACAGATAAGCCACCATTCACCTCTGAATCCCCTCTACATATTATGCTTGTTTCCTGTGGCTGTTTTTAAAAATTCCGTATCATTGGATTTTCAGATACTGGTCAGCCTCGGTGTTTCTTATATTTGTCATGGTGAAGGACTGCTGTGCTTTTCTGGATTTTAAAACTGATTTCATGCAGCATTTTGGAGTTTTCAGCAATTATTTCATTATTTTTTTGTCATACCATATTTTTATCTCTTGCCTGTACAACTGGAAATCTGTAAAACACTTTGCTATTTCCTTTGGGAAGAGTAAAACATTGAACATTTTGAGTAAACACACTGGAAATATACATTGACTCTAAATTGCTAAAGTAACAGAACAATTTCTCATCTTTTAAATGGAGAACAGAGTAAATTACAAAAGGTAGGCTGAGAGAAATCCTCTTGTCAAGCTACTTTTAAGACCTGTTAGCTCTAATGTATACTTGCGTATTCATCAAAATCTGTTTATCCAGCCAAACCTTCAAAGGTAGAAGCTGTATGCTTACACATTTTCTAACAGACTTTGTTTTATTACGTATGCTACTTTAAGTGGTTACGAGTTGGGCTGTTAACTGCAAGCTCAGCAGTTTGAAAGCACCAACCACTGTGAGCAAAAATGAGGCTTTCTACTGCCGTAAATACTTAACAGTCTCAGAAACTCACAGGGGCAGTTCTGCCCTGCCCTGGAGGGTCTCCATGAGTCAGACTCTCTCAGTGACAGTGAGTTTTGGTTTTACTTTAATTTTACTCTTCAAAATATCTCTCTGACACATTTATACAATAACATATTAAAGATAATTAATAAAAGGTAAACAGTATCTTCACTTAGTTTAATTAAGTTTGAAAATTCACTTAAAAATGCTATAAGAAGCAACTAAGATTTTAAAACGTATTTCAGACCTCAGTTCTCAGTAATGCACGTGTCTTAGCCTTATTAAGATAACTTTAAAAATCAAAAAGGATACTGAGTAAAAAACATTGCCTGAAGATCAGCTACCTCTAAGCTCATTCTTCCATCAGTCTTTTAAGTAAGGTAGAAGCTAATGATGGAGACTTTTATGGAACATATTGTTACCGGGGTTAGTCTTGGAATTACCAAAATGAACCAGAGAGAAGAAGGCCCCATAAAAACCAAGGCTCTTACTGGGCTAGTCAAATGCAAGGCAGGGAGATTAGCTCAGAAAGTTATGTGAGTTTAATGAGATTCCAAACGGGTACTCTGAAGATTGTCACAGAGAAGTTTAAAGGAAATGGAAAACTTCATTCGTGAGAAAAAGGTCAGGAAAGTTGCACCGAGGGTGATGACAGTGCACCAAGGCTGTCTTCCTAAAATTGTGTTGCTTATTTAACCGCATTTACCCTACAGCCCCGATCTTGCCCTTTCAGATTTCTTTTGCTCCCCCAAACTCAGCGAACATTTACTTATTTATTTTTAATAGATTTGATATAAAAGTCACATCATATACATCCTTAGTTAAGTTGCTTTCTAACGAGTTGTATATACATCATTACAATCAGTTTGAGTGCTCCATACCCCCTCCTGCATTCATTGTTTGCTCCTCCCTGGTTCCCCACTCCCCGTACAAATCATTGCATCTGTGTGTCCACTCCTTCTGTGCTTCATAAACTAGGAAGCCTAGAAGAAACAAACAAAAACAACAGAAAGAAAAGGATCATAATAATATAGAGATTAAGAATAAAAATAAGAGTAAGAAAGAAAAGGCCACCAGCAATATTTTTTAAAAACCAGAGGAGACATTTTTGTCGTGGAACAAGCAAGAAATACTTAAGCCTAGTACAAATTCAAGTTGGATCAAGAGGGACATCAACTGATACATCATATTATACCATAGTTCGATTCACCATAATTAAGTTTACAGTAATTTCTGTCTGATAGCAAAGCTGTTTGTGTCCCTCACCTGTGGCCAGAGGGGACCTGTCAGAGGCTTAATCTGACGAGATGCTCTGCAGAAGGATTTTGGGCTCCAGCTGCCCTCCACAGCCTTGTATACACTGGGTGTGCACACTTTAAGCTCTGATACGTTTCCTTCCTCATAGTTGAATTTTGGATCCACACAAGCTCGTGTGCTTCTTCCATGTGGACTTATTGACTCCTCACTTAGATGGCTGCTTGTTTGAATACAAGCCTTTAAGACCCCAGACACTATTACGATTGATAGCCAGCCACCATTTGTTTCTTCACCGCGCTTTGCTGTAGCACCCTTTTCTTCAGAGATCTCTTCATGAAAAGCAAGTCTTGAGCAGGGCCATGCTATAAGAACTAACTGTTCTTGCATTGGGGCTAGAATTAAGTGAGAACCAGAATCCAGCGGCTTGTCTATAGGGTACGAACAACTCTGGTCTACTTTGGGGTCATGTGTGACAAAAACCCAAACCAATAAGAACAACCCCAGAAAACAAACAACCCCCCGCCCCCCAACCAAAACAAACAGACAACAAAAACATTGTCATTCATCCATCCCTCTGGGGTAGAGAACATTTCAAAGGAACAAGGTTTGAGCCCTTCGAGGGTGCCCACTCTTCTTTTCGTTTGGTGTAAATGGAAGAGTGTGAAATTTTTCAGGGAAGGAAGGGTTAGAAAGATGGAAAACCACCTTTAGAAGTGTGTAGACCTAGATGGAGGCTATGTCGAGAAACAATCAGTTTATATTTTGATATTTCTGTTTTAAAAAGGTTTCTATAATGTGGTAATACTTTACATGTACTTAATGGTGAAATTTTTTTCAAAACTGATGAAAGACTACTAGAGTTAATGTTCAATTTCCTATTTAACCTGGTTACTGACAACTTGGTTTTATCTAGCTTAGAAAAATTTGTTGAATGTTTGTATATATTTCTTAGATATGTTTTATTTTCTTAAAATAAAAAAATTATAAATTATTGAGCTTTATGTGGAATTCTAAATCATGAGACAAATGTGATTTTTATTAGAGCTCAGTTTTGAAAAACTTTTAAGAGAAATGAAAAAACTTTATTGTTTTGGAAATTTTTCCAGTGTAAGGTCAAAGTACCTCCAATAAACACAGAATTAATTAATTTTTAGTAATTATATATGCTGCTACAAGAAATTTTATTTAAAATTTTTACACATCTATTAAAAAAGTCAATTTTTTTCCTAAAGAGAAAAAATTTGACTTTCTTTCTATTATGTAAAAAAATTTATTTCATTAAACTGTGTGTAAAGCAGACCTTGAACCATTAAAAAATTATAATGTATTTCTTAATATAATCTTCCAAAATAGCTAACTTATCATATTGAGTTTGTTTTGCACAAATATTCTGTAGCTTCCCTAATCAGTATATTACATTACAACTCCCCTCCCCCCATGTGATAATGATGTTTAACAATTGTCTTCAGTCCTGACTTCAAAAAATAATTTAAAATTTTTAAATGGAGTACACAATATAAAAGTGTATCAGATCCTCATTTATTTCCTCCAAATCTAACAATGATCTTGTTATTTGTGAGATTTTAAAAAAGCTTTATAGTAAACATTTTTCTATATCCAAATAGAAAGCAGATAAGATAAATTTATCCTCTGAATTCTTCATTTATTTGCAAAAGCATAATACACAAGAACTTTTCTTGAAAACAAGCAGAAATTTGAAAATGCATATAGAGTGTGAAAATGTTATTTTATCTTTCAGATTTTGTATCAGATTGTACCATCTCATCAATTGATGTTAGAGTTCCATAAAATTCTTAAAAGTTCAGGTAAGAATTTGTGTTATAATTGTTTGTTCATATAAGTTACAGAACAGAGGACTGACAGAGTATCACCAGTGAGTCAAATCCACCCACTGCATGAAGTTCTGTTGGAACATAGCCACGCCCACTCATGCATTTATTATCTGACTCCTTTCTCACTGTATGGTAAACTAGTACTTTTGATGGATCATGTGGACCCAAAGTCTAAAATAGTTATTCTCTGGTTCTTTACTGAAAGTTTGCTGATCCTGTTGTAGAACATTAGGCAATTGCCAGCAAAAATTTACCTCACTTTATTTAATCCTTAGGGGTTTCAGGTCAGCATAGAAAAGATCATATTCCTTTGCTGAATTAAATCAGCTCAGTAAGCTCGATTGTACTGGGATAGTCCATGTCCATCTCCTAAGAGAAGAGAACATAGAATATGAACAAATAGGCCATAAAACCTAAAACCCAAACTCACAGCCATCAAGTCGATTCTAACTCATAATGACCTTATAGGACAAAGTAGAACTGACCCTGTGGGTTTTAGAGTCTGAAAATATTTTTGGAGGAGAAAGCCTCAATTTTCCCTCTTGGAGTGGCTGGTGGTTTCGAGCTGCTGACCTTGTGGTTAGCAGTCCAATGCTAGTCCACTATGCCACCAGCGCTCCTCCACTATTAGGGTAGCTATGTTAAATCATGCTTTCAGTACTATATAAAGAGAGGAGTATATGACATCCCTAAATCAAACCCACTGTTAGTTTTTTAATCATTTTATTGGCATTTACTTCAATGTTATGCACTTCAATAGTTAGGTTGTAACAAAAAGTTGTACAGTCATCATTACAATCAGTTCTAGGACATTTTCTTCCTTCTTGTACTCATTGTTATTAGCTCCCCATCCCTTCCAACCGCCCCTTCAATGCCCCTACTAATACAGTTACTGCCTCTATCAATGAAGTATCTTGGATTTCATATACTGGAAAACATACCAAAAAAACAAACAACCCCAACATGAAGCAAAAACAACAACAATCCAGAGGAAAATCCTCAATAGAAAAGAAAGTAGGAAATATAAAAACCAGAACAAATTTTAAATTGATCAAAAAGGAGTTCAAATGATAAGGTGTTAGAATTTAACCTAACTGGTTCTGCAACAATACATTTCATGTGTATTCTGCACAATAGCAGGGTGAAAGTTATTCAAATCCCTGGTCCATGACTAGAGGAAATTCACTGGGGGCTTAATCCATGTGTATTTGCTCTTCATTTTTTTAAAATATGAAACAACTTTAAAATGGTCAAAAGGGAGAACAAATGAGAACTACATCTGCCATAATCAACTTTATAATGCTTTCTGTCTGGTAGCAAGGTTGTTCACATCCATTGACCTGGTCAGAGGAGATTCACCAGATTCCTATGGGTTCATCCTTGTAGAGCAACGGTTCTCAACCTTCCTCAGGCCGCGGCCCTTTCATACAGTTCCTCATGTGGTGGTGACCCCCCCAACCATAAAATTATTTTGTTGCTACTGTTATGAATCAGGCGACCCCTGTGAAAGGCTCATTTGACGCCCCCCCAAAGGGGTTGTAACCCACAGGTTGAGAACCACTGATATAGGGACTTCCACTATCATCCATAGTCAAACCCACTGTTGTCAAGTGATTCTGAATCAGTAATTCTGAATTTTTAAGGAAACACAGAATTGTATCTTTTCCCATGGATCAGTTGGTGGGTTTGAACCATCGGCCTTGCAGTTAGCAGCCCACTGTTAAACCCACAGTGCCACCAAAACCCTACTGCCACTGAGCTAGTTTCTATTAAAAACAACCCTCTACAGGGTTTTTAAAACTGTCCATCTGTACAGGAGCAGGCAGTCTCATCTTTCCCATTTGAATGGCACTAGGTTAGAATGGTTGACCTTGTGGTTGGTAGTCTAACACCTAACCTGAAGAGTCACCAGAATTCCTTTATTTCGTGGAACAAATTAGTGAATTCTTCAGATTCATCACAGGAGGGTGTGAACATAATGAGTTGTTCTAAATGTTTAACCACACTGTAATATTTTATCAGCTATATATATTTTTAGCTTTGTCTATTTCACAAAGTTTGTAAACTTGAACTGGTTTGATTGCTGCAGATAAAGAAGAACACCGTAAACTGGGACTAGAGGTGTTATTTGCAATATTGGATTTTTCTGGGTGCACGAAAAATATAACTGCATGGAGATATTTGGCAAAATATCTGAAAGAGACCTTAATGGGGTAAGTAAGAAACAGACAGTATTTATTACTGGACCAACTTTTTAGAAGTGTGTTGGAAACAAGGAAATAAATGCAAAATCTTAAGCATAACTTAAAAAATCCTGTTAAATTTTGTTTGGGCTATTAAAATAAGTACTCTGTCTTAATATTGTGCAGCTGGGGAATAAGTACAAGGGTCTTCAAACAGTGTGCTGGGAGTTTTTGGAATGGAATTTGTGAGCTTTTTGAAGCTCCCTTGCATATATTGTCACATCAGAGAGAGGAATCACTGCCAGTCTTTGTTGCAGACTGTAAAGCTCTCTGTAAAGACTTATTTCTTCCATGACAGGCAAGTGTGTTATCAGCTCTTTTAAGATCACAACGCGAGACAATAATCATTGGTCATTCAGTCAGTAAATATTTATTAAGCACCTGTGAGCTGGGTATCAAAAAAAAAAATCTGTCATTAAGCATTGAACTGCTAACCACTGGGTCTATAGTTCAAACCCAGTGCCACTCCACAGGAAAAGGATTTAGGCTGGCTGCTCCCATAAGGATCTTCAGTATCAGAAACGCTTAAGAAGCAGTACTACTTATTGTCCTCTGATATCTTTTATTTTTAGGGTTATGAACCTTATTATAATTTTTTTAAGTCATTTTATTGGGGGCTTTGATCTCTTTAGTATCACATTTTGAGTAAGAAAAGGAGGGTCTCATATCAGTTTTACTTTGTGTATAAGAAAGGATATCACAAAATTAAGTTCCTTTTATTAATTATATCCATTTTAATTGGTTAGAAAATTCAATATGAGGGGACACTTGCTCCAGATTTCACATCTGGCTTGACCATGGAGAGAAAACAGTGCCGCAAGGGAAATGCTTGTAGGGTGCTCTGTTGGGGAAGCACTGGGCTGCTAACCCCAAGATTGGCCGTTGAAAGCATCCGCTGCCTCGCAGGCGAGAGAGGGCTGTTTGTTCCTGTAAAGAGTTATAGCCTTGGAAATCCCATATGAGGTGACCGTAGGTGGAGACAACTCGATGGCAAGTGGGCTTTTGTTGTTGGTGTATGTTGGTGGACTCACTGTAAACCAGTTTTTAAGTTGAAAGCACTTCTTAACCTAGACCATAAGGTTCTCGAAGTCAAAGAAATGTATTATTCATTTTTGAATTTCTAGAAATTTTGCCAGAGGGAGCACATTGGTGCTAAATAAGAATTTGCTAAATTAAATTATGGAAGAGAACTTAGCATTGTTTAGTTTCAACTGAATTTCATAGGTGTGTTTGTATAGTCTGAATGGCAACTTGATTTGGATAGTAATTCTTGATAGCATATAATTTTAAAGTAAGGTTTTATTTTATTATTATTTTTAATCATCTTATTAGGGGCTCATACAACTCTTATCACAATCCATATATACATCAATTGTGTAAAGCACATTTGTACATTCATTGCCCTCATCATTCTCAAAACATTTGCTCTCCACTTAAGCCCCTGGCATCAAGTCCTCATTTTTTCAAAAGTAAGGTTTTAATGTAACTTGTAAGTAATAATAATAATAAGGAAACCCCCTGGAAAACCAAACTCGCTGCCCTTGAGTCGGTTCCAACTTGCCACAATCCTACAGAACAGAGTGGACGGTCCTGTGGATTTCCAAGACTAACTGTTTACAGCAGTAGAAAGCCTTATCTTTCTCTGTGGCCTGCAAGTTGCTTTGAACTGCTGATCTTGCAGTTAGCAGCCCAACACATAACCACTAGGCCATATTGTGCTTATAGGGTCACTGAATCAGAATTGACCGGCAGTGAATTTATATGAAACCCACTGTACTGGTAGACTTGTTTAATTTTGTTAACAATGCCACTTGGATATGTATCATCAATATTCTCAAGGAAACTTAGGGTCAGGAGGCTAAGAACTTGCTGCATACCACATAGATCATAAATGAAAGAAGTGAAATTTGAATACAGGATTCTAGCTTCATATTCTATGCTCTTAACCATTGTGTTATACTGAACTTGCTTGCTAATGAAATAGAAAATGATGTGGAAATGGAAAAAATTTACATTCATACTTTTTTTTCATCATGTGTCTGACCATACCCAGAATTTTGTTTGGAAATGCCTTCCTTGACATCTTTTCGTAGACTCTACTTACATTCACATTCTGACAGCACGCACAGACCTAGCCCCTCAGTGATCTGTCACGCATTTTCTCCCCGCAGACATCATCTGGCTTGGGTTCAAGAAGAGTGGAACTCCAGGAAAAGTTGGTGGCCAAACTTTCACTTCAGCTACTTTTGGGCAAAAAGTGATTGGATGGAAGACAAGGCGTTGGCTTGTGAGAAAGCTTTGGTAGCTGGCATATTATTAGGAAAAGGTACATGCGTGTTTTTGTTTATTGTAGACATAGTTTCGAGACAATTTTGAAATGAAAAGGGGATGTCATTTCTTCCTATTTGAGCACACCTAGCACAGGACCTAGGGGTTTTCGTGGCTCCAGAAGTAACTACTGAATGAAAGAAGGAATCCCAAGTTGGCACAAGGCAATTCTGTGTTTGTAAGGTGTGTCCGTGGTGTTAGAAATGGTGATCTTATAGTGATTGTGATGGTTTTTGTGTGTTCTAACATCAGTGTATCTGGAACCACAGTATATGATGCAGACTGATCCCACAACCAATGTCAATTTGGACTTCTGTATAGAAAGTTTACTGAGATTGTCTGCTTTCTAAGAAAAAGAATAATAATCTTTGTTGGCCTCATTGTTGCATACAACACCTATATTTATTTATCTTGTTTCTGGAAGAAAAAGAATTCTACTTCTGTTGCTGGACACACCCCCCCCCCAAAAAAAAAGAATGCCCCCCATTAACTTATATGAAAAGCCTCTTGGAAGAAAAGAGGAATTGATCTTTTTTTGTATATAAATAATTTTATTGGGGATTCTTACAGCTCTTATAACAGTCCATACATCAATTGTATCAAACACATTTGTACATATGTTGCCATCATTATTTGCAAAACATTTTCTTTCTACCTGAAACCTTAGTATCAGCTCCTCTTTTTTTCCCTCCCTTCCCCACCCTTCCATCCTCATGAACCCTTGTAAAATTATAAATTGTTATTATTTTCATATCTATGCCCACATTTCTGTTGTTCCTCCCCCTTGGGGGGTGATCTTTTCTTTGTAGACTATTTTGACCAATGAAATTCTCATATGCTCCATCCCACTAAATGTGAGGCTGTAGGAACTGCTGATACTAATTTGAAAAATATTGGTCCGGGGTGAAGAAAATAACCTACCACCTGTTCAGTTTTAGATATAGTTTGTGTTACCTGGAATTAGTATTCTCAATGAATGTGTGAGATAGTTATCTAGTTCTACTATTAGAGCAGAAATACTACAAGTGAGTGCCTTTAACAAACAAATGTTTTGTTTTTTAAACAGTTTTTATTAGCACTTCATCAACATGTCACACAATTCAATAATTCAGTTATATCAAGAAGAGTTGTGCAGCTGTTATTCAATTCTAGAACATTTTCTTCTTCCTTGTAAATGCAATTTCTCAGAATTCAGGGTGAGAAGCTCTAATTCCGAGTTGCAGGCTTTAGAGCAGTGATTCTCAACCTTCCTAATGCCACGGCCCTTTATACAGTTCCTCATTTGGTGACCCCCCCAGCCATAACTTTATTTTCGTTGCTACTTCGTAACTGTAATTGTGCTGCTACTCTTATGAATCGTAATGTAGATATCTGATATGCAGGATGTATTTTCATTGTTACAAATTGAACATAAAGCATAGTGATTAATCACAAAACAATATGTAATTATATATTGTGAAATATTTATTTCTAATGACAAATGAAATTTTGTCTTGAAGCATGGTGTAGCATGGGTAGCAGCCTTCACGCCGCCCGGGTACTCGTATGTGGCTGTATCTGCATGTGGGTGGACCCGCCTGGAGACGGCTAGAGGAGCCGTGTCTCAGTTCCTGAGACCATCGGAAATGTGTTTTCCGATGGCCTTAGGTGACCCTTGTGAAAGAGTCATTCGAGACCCACAGGTTGAGAACCGCTGCTCTAGAAGAAGGCTTCCTCTGTTGGCCTGAGGAAGGTCTACCTCAACATGTGCTTTGTGCTTCCGCGGCGATCTGATTGATCTGTTTGTCTTGGTATCCACCTTATCTGCTAGCCGACTTGCTGGTTTAGTCTCTCTTGTATCTCAAAAGGGATCGAGTCCAGAGATAGCCTACACATCAACCTAACAGAAAGAGATCATTCCCAAATAAGATTGCCCTCACAGGCATAGAGGCTGGGATTTATATCGCCTATTTGTAGGGAGCAGGCCCACAATTCAATCCCAAAGAGTACAATGGTGAACAAACCCGAAAATTTGTGAAAACAAAGGAAATAAATAAATTTTTAAAATACACTGATGATGAGACAGAAGTGAGCTTTGGGTTATGATTTTTCTACTGCCTCATAAATATTAAAAAAACCCTCACTGCCATCAAGTCGATGCCATTGTCGTGACCCCAAGACTGTAATTCTTTATAGGAGTAGAAAGTCCTATGGTTTCACACTGCAGGCCTTGTAGTTAGCAGCCCAATGTGTAATCCCTGTGCTTTCCGGGCTCCTTGAGAAACATAGGGGCTTGTGATGTAGTGTGGTTGAGCAGAGTTCTAATGCGGTTACTCAGTGCTGTCACTTACTTGCCATAGAACATTTATAAACCTCCTTTGAAATGGCATTGTCCTGATTTGCGTACAAGATAGTATAAGTATCAAGTAGACCTAATGTCAGAATGCTACTTAAACTTCTAAAGTATTACATGAGTATCAGATAAGGTTATGCCTGAAAATGCCATCTCTGGCCTGGCAAGTTGGCAGTGTTGGGTGGAGGGAATCTCTTCACTTGGATTTGTTTTTGTTGTGGTTGTTACTGCAACATTCCAGGATTCAAACTCTTCTAGTTGTGCTGTGTTGTTGTTCCATGCTTAGAGTATGAGCTGCTCGTGTGCACAGACTTCTGTCCATACCCTGCTACAGCTGAGCCAGTTCTTGTCCCATTTCTCCTTGGAAGGGCCCTTTCCTCTGGGAACTCAGGCTGCTTGGTTGCCCTGTGATGTCAACTCTCCAGTAGGCTTGAGAAGAGTTAGGATTTTGTGCTAGCCTTTTTTCATGTTGCTGCCATGAGAGAGACGTTCTTTCTAGCTTTCTCTGCCTCTCTGCCTTACGGCAGTGGTTCTCAACCTTCCTCATGCTGCGACCCTTTCTTACAGTTCCTCATGTTGTGGTGACCCCCAACCATAGAATTATTTTTGTTGCTACTTCATAACAATAATTTTGCTACTGTTCTGAATCGGGTGACTCCTGTGGAAGGGTCGTTCAACCCCCAAAGGGGTCACGACCCACAGGTTGAGAACTGCTGCCTTAAGGGAAAGCAGAAATCTACATAAGCTTTTTTGCTAAACTCTTATGAGTTAAGACACACAAATAATTATAAATGATGTTATGGAAACTTGCTCTTCCCAGCTAATAGAGTAAGGCTATCCCGACATGTTATTTGTAGGAATAATAAAATGGTTATTATATGTACATATATGAGAGGACATAAACAAATCTGTGGAAAATGGAATTGAAAAAGCATGTCCATGAACTTTTTGAAAGTACCTTTCTATATCCTAACAATTTGCCAGATAAGATGGATATATATATATATATATATATATATATATATATATATATATATATATATAAAAATAACTTGGAACTGTAATGAAATTAATTACAGTTAATTCATGTGTGAGTTAAGGCCTCCATTTATTAAATGAAATAATTCTGATACTTTCAATATCAACTTTATGTTTTCCTTATAGGGATTTCATTTGCTTCTTTGAAATGCTTGATAAATGCTTCTCAGCATTATAAGGCTATGAGAAGCAGGAGAATTTATATGGGGTATTATGTACCTTTTTCAAAGCGAAAGGGCCACCATCTAGTGGCTTGCTGAATGACTGGAATGAGTAGCTCGATGCTGACCTCTTTTCTAACTTAGGATCCTTTTTTTCTAGTTCTTTACAGTAGTATTTCTCCTTTACTATTTTTATAGTGCCCTTTTAGGTCAATTTACAGTTAATATTGGGAGGAACCCATAGTAATTTGTTCTTGGAGAAAACAATTACTGGGACTGGGGTTTGGGGACAGAATATAGAAAATAAGCATTGGTGCCTGATCTTGGAATATACATGACATACTGATATAGAGTATACAAATCAATTTTCATAATCATAAGTTTACCAGAGTTGGAGCAAAAATGAAAATTTCTGGAAGAATTTGATGATAAATACTAAAATTCTTTTTATTTTGTTTTTTAGGTTGTAGATATTTTCGCTATGTTTCAAAGCAAGGTCATCAAGTCTTAAGGAAGAAAATTAAGCAGATGAACAAATCAGTGAAAAGATATAGTATTGTAAATCCAGGACTTTGATGTTAAATTCAAATTTTTATTTACATTGCCTTGAACAGTGTGATAACTTGATCATTATGAGTGTGTTCATATATTCAGTTTAAAAAGTGCAATTTTTCTCTGAACTTGTTGAAGTTCCTTGTATATTCTAACAATTTCACAGAGAAATTGGATATATTTAACCTGGAACTATAATGAAATTAATGTTTCATATGTGAAAGATGGTTTTATAAGATAGCTTATATGACTCCTAAAAAGTTATTTTTTTAATCTTTTTGTATTCCTTTTGCTATCAGTTTTAGTTACAGCACTAGTTTGCCGACTTTATTCTTTGTAAATATATACATACACACAAATTTATTTTTGTACTGTTAAATATAACATTAAAGAATCATTCTTCAAAAAAGACATACAAATTATATCTGTCTTTATTTATTTATTTATTTTAAGGATCTTTTTATTGGGGGCTTGTAAAACTTTTCACAATCCATCCATCCATCCATTGTGTCAAGCACATTTGTATAATTGTTGCCATCATCATTCTCAAAACATTGCTTCAAAAACCCCAAAACATTTGCTTTCTACTTGAGCTCCTCATTTTATCCCCTCCCTCTCTGCCTCCCCTCCCTCACAAACCCTTGATAATACATAAATTATTATTTTGTCATATTTTACACTGTCTGACGTCTCCCTTCACCGACTTTTCTGTTGTCTGTTCCCCAGGGAGGCGGTTATATGTGGAGCCTTGTGGTCGGTTCCCCCTTTCTACCCCACTTTTCTTCTGCCCTCCCGGAGTTGCCACTCTCACCACTGGTCCTGAGGGGTTCATCTGTCCTGGATTCCCCTTGTTTCCAGTTTCTGTCTGTACCAGTGTACATCTTCTGGTCTCGCCAGATTTGTAAGGTAGAATTGGAATCATGATAGTTGGGTGGAGGAAGCATTTAAGAACTAGAGGAAAGTTGTGTGTTTCATCATTGCTGCACTGCACCTAGACTGGCTCGTCTCCTCCCTGCTACCCTTCTGTAATGTGTGTCTATTTAATCGGACACCATAGCTCTACATAAGTTACTGCTGCTTTCACGTAGTTTTCTTGACTCTTTTGTGTATTAAATATGACGTGGTACTGTGAAATAAATTTATATATATATATTTTTATCAATTTATTGGGGCTCATACAATTCATCACAATACATAGATCAATTGTGTAAAGCACATCTATACATTTGTTGCCCTCATCATTCCCAAAATTCGCTTGCCTCTTGGGTTCCCGGAACCCGCTAATTTTCCTTTTTTTCCCCCTCCCCTTCCCTTCCTCCTCCCCTCTCCCCCATGCACCCTTAATAATTTATAAATTATTATTGTATCTTATATTACACTGTCCGGCGTCTCCCTTCACCCACCCCTCCGCTGCCCGTCCCCCAGAGAGGAGGCCACACGTAGCTCCCTGTGATCCATTCCCCCCTACTACATCCCCTTTCCCTCCTGGTATCGCCACTGTCACCCCTGGTCCTGAGAGGTTCCTCTGTCCTAGATTCCCTGCGTTTCCAATTCCCGTCTGTACCGCTGTGCATCATCTTGTCCAACCAGGTCTGCAAGGCAAAATTGGGGTCCTGGTAGTTGGGGGGAGGAAGCGTTCAAGAACCAGAGGAAGGTTGTGGGCTTCATTATTGCTATACTGAACCCTAAGTGACTCATCTCCCCACTACCCCTCTGCAAGGTATGTCCAGTTGTCTAGACAACAAAGTCCACAGAGAAGAAGCACATGAGCCTGTGCGAACACGAAGTGTTGAAGGGAACAGGCAGCAGACACCAAAGAACAAAAACCATCATTGTGTGACCACCTTCCACACATAAACGCTGAAGACAAATGTGCGCATAAGTAAGTGTGGTGAAGAAGGCTGATGGTGCCCGGCTATCGAGACCTATAGCGTCTGGGGACTTAAAAGGCTTGAAAATTTATATTTTTTAAGAAATTTTTAATTGTCAAGGTATACCGCTGCAAAGAAATGCATTGATGAATGAGTTCTGTTCAGGAATTTTGGAAAGAGAAATTTAGAAAAAATATCCTCGTTTTCTTTTAATGCAAAGATCCAGCAGCTTGGGGTCAACTGACCTTAAGAGATACCCTTGACCCTAGAGAAATCATTTGGTCAGAGTGGATAGAGCGGGCAGGTGTTCGGTAGGCTGTGGCCTAACTTGAAAGGACTGGAGAATGTTTGTTGTCTGGCCATGCTCTAGAGCTCCTGTGTCCTCTTCCTTTTCTCTTGGAAACGGTTTGGGTTCAATCTGGGGTCTGTCATGATCATCTGTGACTTGTTGGGCAAGAGAGTAGGCTCACAATTTCAAGATGGTCAAATCTCCATTTCCTCATCTATGAGATGGAGACAGTTGAACTTAAATTGGATTGCTTTTAAAAATCACAGAAATATAATTAATGTTTAGGATATAATAATGCTATAAATGTTAACTGCCAAGTAAGCCTAGGAAGAAAAACCTGGCAATCAAGTTCCAAAAGATCCTTTCAAGAAATAGCCCTTGGAAACCCTATAAGGTACAGTTGTACTCTGAAACATGGGTGGTCATGAGTCAGAATTGACTCAACCACTACCAGTTACCGAGTCACCATCCATCACGACTATATCTTAAGATGCTGTTATTTAATGCTGACTCAATAACCGGCTCAACACAATGAAACAGTGCCCAGATCCAGCATGGGATTTGCCAGCGTGTTCAGTCTGTCGTGGCTGTTGTGCAAACCGATCTCACTGAGGCCCCCTTTTTACTGAAGATGATGCCCATATTGAGGGACTGCACTGATCTCCCCAAATGACATATGTAAAGTTGGACAATTCTGTTGTGATCTATACATTTTTGTGGTGGTTGTTGGTTAATTCTCAGAAGTCAATCACTAGGTTTTTCTCCTTTGCCTGGAGGCTCTGCTGAAGGCTGCCCACCACAGGTGACCCTGCTGATACTTGTAGTACTGGTGGCAGCGCTTCCAGCATCTTAGCAACACTCGAGCAAAAAGTTGACAAGTGATAGACAACAATATTAGGCACTGTAAATAACAGGAGCCAAATAAAGATCATTTAAAGTCTACTTTTTTTTTCTAAATAGCAAATTTGTGTGATTGATGAGCTAATGTCTCCCACGGCAAAATATATCTCTTTCCAATTGATGTGTAGCTCAACCATTAATTATGGATTAGAGGGGAACCCTCACGGGCACAAACTCCAGGACGCTTTGCCTGCACAGCTTCCTGCTGGGTGGTTCCGGCTGTTTCAGCTGCCCCAAACTCCTCAGTCCAGGGGGGTTGCCAGTTTTGGATTCCAACTCACTGGTCCTGGGGAATTCTCCCCAGGCAGAGGAGCTGGGCTGATGTGGGACAGCACCCTTCTCTTACCTCATGCAGGTGCTTCCTGTTGTCTTCTGAAGAAAAAGTTGCCTCATATGTTGTCTAGATTGGGAGATACACATGGATGGCTTAAGAACTTTTGTTGATCAAATCACACCTTAGAGAAAATGAAATATAATCTAATAGGGTGTATTTACAGTATCTAAGTTCAAAGTATTTACAGTGTATCAGTTTTCTATTAAAGGATCCACTTCCAAAATAATACTGTGCACACAATAATACATATTTACTAAATTGACACATGTCTATCAAAATTATTGCGTCATTATATGTTGCATCTTTTGTGAATCTGAAATGTTAGAGTCCCTTTTGACTTGTTACATATTTTTAACAGTTTTATTGACATATAAATTACATATACAATGTAATAGTTCAATCATATTAAAAATAATTGTACAATCACCACCACAATCAATTCTAGAATATCTTCTTCTTTCTCGGACTCATTGTTATTCCCTATTTCCCCTCAACCTCCTCTGCCATACATCCAAGGAAACTTTAATCCAGTTACTGTTGTTACAGATTTACCTATCCTGGATTTCACAGACAGAGAAACATATAAAAACAAACAAACCCCCCTAAAAATAATAAAGCAGAAAAACCAGTCAAAAAGAAAAAATATATATATTAAAAACTGGAGAAAATTGAAAATGAATAGAATGGAGATCAAATGATACAGTGCTAAATTTTAACCTAAATGCATCTGTAATTCACTTTCCAGTGTACTTTGCATGACAGCAAGGCTATCTACATTCCCCGTGTATGGTCAGATGGAATTCACTGGAGATTTAATCCACACGTATTTCCCCTTCATTTTGTGTGTATGTGTATGTGTGTGTTAAACTGAAACAATGTTAAGATGGGTCCAAAGGGAGACCAAATGATAAGGTAGAACATTTTAGCCTAGCTACATCTGCCGTACTTGACTTCACATTGTTTTCTGATAACAAGGCTATTCACATCCCTCAGCTTTGGTCAGAGGCGAGTCAATGGAGGCTTAATCTACGGTGGACCCTGCAAACGGATTTTGGGCTTCCGCTGTCACCCATAGCATGCAAACCCAATGTTAACAATTTAAGCTCTCAGACCCGAGGTTGTCAACCTGTGGGTCACAACCCCTTTGGGGGTCGAATGACCCTTTCACAAGAGTCGCCCAATTCATAACAGTAGCAACATTACAGTTATGAAGTAGCAACGAAAATAATTTTATGGTTGGGGGGGTCACCATAACATGAGGATCTGTATTAAAGGGTCACGGCATTAGGAAGGTTGAGAACCACTGTCTTAGACTATTTCCACAAGATTTGGATTTTATTGTTTACTATCCTTGGGCCACTCAGGCTGGTGTGCTTCTTCCGTGTGGACTTAGTTGATGCCTCCCTTAGTTGGCTGCTTGTTTGAAGTCAAGTTTTTAAGACCCCAGCCACTATTCTTTTTGATAGCTAGGCACCATCTAGTTTCTTCACCACACTGCAATAGCATCCATATCTTTGGTGATCTCTTCATGAGGGCAGGCATCAAGCAGGGCCATGTCACAAGAACTTATTTATTGGGGCTAGAATTACGTGCAAGCTCCAAATCCATTCATATTTGTATGGTTTATATATATATATGGCTCACTTTAGAAGCATTAAAATTTATGTGAGAGAACATTATCAATCATTCCCCTGGAGCATAAGGTAATTCTATTGATACTATAATTAATTTAGCCTATGGCACAGAGCTCAAAGCACTGTTGGGAAAAGGAAAGTATACAAGTACAGGCTGACTATGACATGCTACCTATGTAAATAATTATAAGCTCATGATTTCCTGGTCTGGAAAGATCACAGTACCTAATTTTGCAGTGACTTTTGGGCTTAAAAATAAGATGTGACTTAAACGGCCACTCCCATGTCTTAGGTAGATAAGATTTGTGTTTTATTCTGTCCAATGTGATTTTTTTAATGTGCTCTCATTTTAAAAAATGAGTTAGTTAGCATTATTATTCCAATAAGGAGACACTTTTCTTGGTCTCAGATATTTTCATGGCAAATGGGAAACTGTTTGGAGCTGTTCACAGGTCCCACGTGGAATGGGGAACACAGGCAATCTCTCACATCGCAGGCCAGATGGCTTCCTCCTATCGCCAAGGAAGGGAGTGCTTGGTGCCATCCGGGTGAGCTCTGGCTCATAGCGACCTTGCATGCATCAGAATGCAACCCTGCCTGGTCTTGTCCTGTCCTCACAACGGGCTGGCTGTGTTTGAGCTCACTGAGCCCCTGCAGCAGCCCCTCTCCTTGATGAGCCCCTTGTTTTCCATGACCTTCACCCAGCAGTCTGTCTTTTCCCGGCGAAAATGCAGTGGTAGCCGTGAGTTCACTGGTTGACATTATTTCAAGTGTTATGCCTCCCACCAAGGCTTCCAGAGCAATGACCTCATCTAGCCTTTGAGCCAACAACCCTCAGAAACAGCCCGGTCATGAATGAATTGTGGCGCCATAGTCTACTTAAGAAGTGCTCCGGAGGATCAGGACCAGGACAAACAGGAAAGCAGGGATTGTGTTGACAGGCACTCTTACTTCTCCCTCCCCTTTCCTTTGTTACAGACATTTTAGTTTGCATTTTAAATGCTATCTAGTGCTTCCATAATCCAGAGCATGCGCTACAGATAGGGTAAGAGTGTGGCTCTTTGTCCCATCTTGACAGGTAGGCAGAGACTGTTTTGGGCCTTCAGTAAGAGAGCCTGTTGGGGGAATTCTTTGAAGCACATTTGGATGAAAAACCCATTTCATCTGCCTTGCAAAGAGATGTCCTCTTGGAGTGGAACACTGGAATAAACAAAGGAGAAAGTGATTTCAGGTCCCAAACATCCCCTGAGGAGCTGGTGCCTGCTATTCAAGGCCCCGTTTAGGGGTGGGGCTGTGTGAGTGTGATCCCAGATTCTCTAGATGTTCCTTTGAGCAGTATTTATAAGCAAGAGATATATACAAAGCAAAACCCAGGCTTCCATGCCAATGTTGGCACACACACTAAGTGAGGAAGAAAGAGTGTCTGTCATGAACCTACACATCTGGCAAAAAGACGAATAACCCAGCTGTCCTGTGCTTCCTCATAAAATGTTCCAACACATCTCGCCAACTCTGTTTTGACTCGGCCCCAGGACCTCCTGTTCCGTCACTGTCTCTTCTCTCCCTCCCGTTGTTCCTAGCTGTGGATCTAAGATTCTGGGAAATTGCCTTCCTCCTACCACTCCCAATACACTCTGTCCGAGCCTGAGACGTTTGCATTCTGGTCACAGGAACCACACTCTTCCCAGATCTTCACCTGTGGAGTTCCAGCAGTGACTGCTGTAGTGTCCCCTGTGATTTTCCCTTCTGTCACTCCGGGTGGCTCTGCCTTGGGAAGAAAGCAGTAAACAACACGTGGATTCCCTGATCCCCACCCCCAATGCAGGACTTCTTGGCACTTTTAATGGATTACAGCAACCCTGCCATGAACACCACTGCACCTTTTGCTAAGCAACCCTGCACCCCAATAACTCAATGTGCCAGGCTGAGACTTGTGCCAGGTTCATGTTTAAAAGGATCTGTGGTGGCCTTTTTCCCACTGCTTTTATGAAAACCCCACAGCTTCTCCCTCCCCACCCTATCCCAGGGCCCCCACCTCCCATCCCAAAACACACACACAGAAAGGGCACTGCTCAAAAACCACCTCGGGGAACTGGAGGAGAGGAGGGAAGAGAAAGAAGGAAGAGAAAAGGGGCATGGGGGTAGGGAGGGAGGGGACTAGGGCCAGGCAGGGAAGCCAACCTGAGCAAACACAGCAGCTGGAGTGCTCCCAAACCCAACATGCAGCCATGCAGCCGTCTGGGCCCCTGGCTCCCCGTTCCTTCTGGCATTTTCTGTCTCTGTTTCACATTGTTGTTGGGCCTGGTGGACTTGCTGCAGGGGCACCCCCAGTGCCTGGATTACAGGCCCCCCTTCAAGCCCCACATGCATCTTGAGTTTTGTTCGGACTACGAGGCTTTCGGCTGCTGCGACCAGAGCAAAGATGACCACATCGCTGCCCGGTACTGGGACATCATGGACTACTTTGACCCGAAGGGCTACCAGCTGTGCAGCAGTTACATTAAAGACATCCTATGCCAGGTGGGCTTGAGTACAACCCTGATATGGGGTGGAGCGAGCCGGTTCGACCAGAGCCTTCCAACTGCGGGGGTTCAGTGGGTTGTGCATAGTATACCCTGGGCCTATAGAAGCTCACCTACTTGTTGCCTTGGCTCCCCCCGGTGGGTCTGCACAGACATGCTGAGGTGAGGGGGTGCTGAGTAGATTTCCACGGGATCCTCAAAGCTCACCCTCGGGTTTCTGCCACTTTGGGGGTTTCTCGGGCCCCAGGAGGGCTGGGAGGGATGTTCTTGGAGAGCTTGGGGCAGCTGTTGTGGCCCTCCTCGTCATGCCCCAAGTGCCCTGGGTTCCGGCCACAGTGTACACCAGTGGCTTCGACAGAGCCTGTGGAAGGAGTGGTGGCCCCTTCTGGGGCTTGTCCTGATGGAGGCCACTGGTGTGATGATGGTGACCACAGGCTCCTGGGGGCCGGGTTTTTGGGGTCGGAGGGGGAGGTAGGATTGCTCTCCCAGGCCCCTCTCTGCTCAGGATTCCAGAGCAGGCCGGAGAGAGCTGCCAGCCACGGAAGGGTGGTGATGCACAGAGGTTGTCTTTCCTGGCTCTCCAGGGGCCAGCATCCTGGAGAGGCATGAACATATGATCCCTGACACCAACTTTGGGGGTTTAGGGAACCAGGAGAGGCTGATGAAAGGGTTGCCGTGAGGAGAGAGTGCAGTAAGGGTTTGTAGGGAGCAGCAGACCCCCAAGTTCCCACCCTCCGGGGCAGTGCACAACCGCAGGGCTCTCCAGGGTGGGTAACAACAGGACATTTCCCGAGTCTCTTCTACTCTGCTATGATCTCATTGATAAAACAAAAGAAAGCCCCCATTTCCAAAGAGCTATAACCCAATGCTTGAAAACAGATTCAGACTCACAGTGACCCTGCACAGCGCTACCACTAGCTGCCACTGAGTGGATGCTGACCCATCGGGACCTCACAGGACCTTACAGGGTAGAACCGCCCCATGAGTTTCTGAGACTGTAACTAGTTACGGGAGTAGAATGTGCTGAGCTTATTCCACGGAGCTGCTGGTGGGTTGGAACTGCTGACCTTGTGTATCTACTATACCACCAGGGGTCCTACAGTGACCTTATAGGACCGGGCAAAACTGCTTCAGTTCTACTTCAACCAGAAGTTGTTAAAGGCTGTAACTCTTTAAAGAAGCACATCTTTTTCTTGCTATATGGCTGGCGGGTTTGAATCACTAGCCTTTCAGTTAGCAGCTAAGCACCTAACCAGGGCACTACCGGGGCTCATTCCCCAAAGGTACAAACCCAAACCAAACTCCTAGAGTCTATAGAGTCAATTCCTACTCATAGCAACCCTATAGGAGAGGGTTAAAGTGTCACTCTTTACGGGAGTAGAAAGCTGTCTTTCTCCTGCAGCGTGACTGTGGTTTCAAACTACCGACCTTGTGCTTAGCAGCCCAACATGTCACCACCACGCCACCAAGTATAGGGGTTAGGATTTTCACACATTTATTTTGAGGTGACATAACTCAACCTACAACATCTCTTCTTCCTGATAACCAAAAGTTCACTCTGTAATCTAAAATCAAGAAATAAGAGGAGAGAACTTTTATGTGACTGAGCTCAGCTATGTCTGAAGAATGCTGCTGGTTCCTGTGTTAATTGATTCAAGAATGGAGGTGAAGGGGCCCACCAGGGAGAGGTGTTCCTGCTCAGTCCAGGGGGTTCTGGGGCCAGTGAACCCTAATTCTCCATCGCTCCAACTACAGCCTTTAAGCCTGCCTTCCTTTTGTTCCTCACCGCGGTTGTCTCTGCCTGTCATTATTAGGAGGGGGTTGGAGTTGGTTATCTGCCCATGAGATCATATTTTCCCTTTAAAATTGTTATAGTTAACTGAGGCTCGAGTAGCAGAAACACAGTCCTCAGAGGCTTGTGTAAAGCCCAGCCATCCTTTCCTATGGCTACAATTCACATTGGTATAGCATCCAGCAGGCTGCTTTACATGCATTAAACACTTAGCAAAATAGATTTGATAAGTGACAAAATAGCTAGAGAGCCATCTCGAAGTAATACATCCCAGGTCCATTTTAAGTCCTTTGTTTTTTCGCCGTAAAACACTGCACACATAGAGAAAGGGATGGGAATGTTAAAAATGAACACTGTACATAGCCAACACGATGCCACAAATGTGAAACTTTTGCCACACTTCTTCCTATTTGTATAAAGAAATAAAATGGTAAAGACGGTATTTATAAGACAGGAAAAGATTGAGAAATGTGATGCCATATCTTTAATAAATATATCCTCATTCATTATAAAACAAAGAGCGGGTCAAGAACTGAGCTACAGCGGGGTCGTGAAAGGGAGAGCGGGTTGGTTGCTTGGTTGGTTCTCGGCTTTCATTAGCTCTTTAGGAACATTGGCTGCATAGGACCTGCGGGGTCTTGAGAAGAGAAGCGATTTATCAGAAGCTGCTAACAGAAACTTTAGAATTCTGCATCTTTTCTACACGATCATTCCATTTATGTTCCAGGAGTGCTCGCCCTATGCAGCTCACCTCTATGATGCCGAGAACCCCCAGACACCGCTCCGGAGCCTTCCTGGCCTCTGCTCCGACTACTGCTCGGCCTTCCACTCTAACTGCCACTCTGCCATCTCCCTGCTGACCGGTGAGCGTCGCCTCCAGGCGTCCCCGGGAAAGGATGGAGCCCACTTCTGTCACCTCCTCAAGCTTCCTGACAAGGACTACTGCTTCCCTAACGTCCTGAGGAACGACCATCTCAATCGCAACCTGGGCATGGTGGCCGAAGACCCACAGGGTTGCCTGCAGCTCTGCCTGACGGAGGTGGCCAATGGGCTGAGGAACCCCGTCTCCATGGTGCACGCCGGGGACGGCACCCATCGCGTCTTTGTGGCAGAGCAGGTAGGAGTGGTATGGGTCTACCTGCCTGATGGGAGCCGCCTGGGACAGCCCTTCTTGGACCTCAAGAGCCTCGTGTTGACCACTCCATGGATTGGAGATGAGAGAGGCTTCTTGGGGTTGGCTTTTCACCCTAACTTTCGCAACAACCGCAAGTTCTACATTTATTATTCCTGCTTGGGCGAGAAGAAGTTGGAAAAAATCCGGATCAGTGAGTTGAAGGTTTCTCGGGCCGATCCCAACAAAGCTAACCCCAAATCAGAAAGGTGAGACATACCCCTAAGAATCTGCGTGCTCCTATCTGTTCACTGATGCCAACCAATCCTTTGAAATAGGGGAACCTTACTGGGTTTCAGGAGCCCTCATGGTGCTGTTGGGTAAGTCTTGGACCGGGAAGTCACCAGGGCCAAGTTTCAAAGCTAGCAGCTGCTCCTCGGGAGAAAAACGAGGCTGTCTGCGCCCGAGAAAAGCTTTGGAAAGCCTATGTTGAATTTCTGTGAGTCCGCATCGCCTGGAGGGCAGCGGGCTTGTGTCTCCTCCCACCCTCCAGAGACAAGTTACTGGTGTTAAAGCCACTAGCTTATATATCGACAAAGGAGTCATTGCTGATAAGTGAGGATGACCTAAGTTAAACTCTGGGGTAAAAGTCATCATGAGGTATCGCCTTTATGTGACAGCTATTCTAATCCGTGTCGATGTATTTGTTCACGACATGAAATATCATGTTTTTGTTAGGAGCTGCCATTGAGTCAGCATCTGCGCTATGGCATCTCTGTGCACAGTGGGACCCTATCCTGCTTGGTCCTGTGTCCCGCCCATGATTGGTTAGGGATCTGACCATTGTCATCTGTAAGATTTTTATTGGCTGATCTTTGGAAATAGGTCACAAGGACTTTCTTCCTAGTTTAGCTTAGTCTGGAAGGTCTATTGAAACCTGTTCAGCATCATAACAATGCACATACGAGGTGCACTGGCTAGAAATCAAAATCAGGTCTCCCACAGAAGACAGGACTGTGGTCATGGAGCCTCCAGGAAATGAGGGTAAGTCCAAAAGGATTGCCACTAGGGTCCTAGTCATACGGGCATGGGTTTGTTTGTCAGTAAACGTGCCTCTGCGATCAGTGGTTGCCTGCAGGATATATCCTTGTCTGAAGTCTCTTTAGGACGATGTCTTCAAGAAAAAAGGTCTAATTAAAACAGTGGCTTCTGAGGGCATCAGCTGGGTCTTTTTAAATTCAAGGCAGAGAGTCAGCTCAGAAGGATATGGTAACTGTTTGGGGGATGTATCAAGGGATCATCTTGGTAGTTTTTCAAAGGAAATAGGATGATCACAGGGATTTATTATGAAGACGGTTAAGAAAGTGGATAACTACACTGGTGAGAAAAAGGCCAGGAAAGTTGTGCTGAGGAATTGCCTCGCATCATGGCAATGCATCTGTTCCTTCTTCAAGGGTAGCAAGGGCTGTCGGACAAGCATTTCTTTGGGAGATCTTAACCCATCCACCCTAAAGCCCTGATCTTGCCACTTCAGACTTTTTTTGTTCCCTAAATTCAGAGAACATTTGAAAGAACGTAATTGGAGCCCCATGAGAATGTGCAAACTGCTGTCAGACAGGGTGGAAATGGGAGAGAACACCGTCCTTCAGGGAAGGGTTCTTGCTGCCATTAGTCAGTGCTGACTCATACTGACCCCTGGTGCCTTTCCCAGATGGTAACTGTGTTAGTCTAGTACGTTAGAGAAATAAATCCACAGAAACTCATGTATAAGAGAGAGTTTTATATAAAGGTTAAGTGTGCATCAAGAAAACATCCCAACCCGGTGCTGCCCAAGCCCACAAGTCCAACATTAACCCATTAACCCATATGTCCGACACCAATCCACCAAGTCCTCCTCCATCTCACAAAACAGAGGCAATGATGCCGACTGCAGGAGGAAAGCTGAATCAGTGAGCGTGTAAGCATCTCAGCGCTGGCAGGGGTCTCCACATGGCTGCTCCAGCACCCAGGGCTGCATCAGGGTAGGTCCATGTGGCTTCTCCTTGGGGATGTCTTGCAGGAAGTCAGCCTTGCCAGCTAAAGCAGGAAACTGGCTAAGGCAGCTGCACCCTGTTCTGACCATCAGAAAGCAAGCGATCCGAGAACTAGAAAGGCGAGGCTCACCAAGCCATTTACCTCTCTGCCCTTCAATTAACCCCACATGTGTTTATCGGCCAGGTTTTCACAATTAACTACCTCAGTAACTATTTACGGGAGTAGAAAGCCCAGTCTTTCTCCTGTGGAGCTGCTGGTGGTTTTGAACTGCTGACTATGGAATTGCAGCTCAATGGGTAACCACTATACCACCAGAGCTCCATTCAGATAAAGAATAGAGAGCCAGAAACAGTACCTTCAGGAGGGTACAGACCTGGATGGAGAATATGTCAAGGACAATAGTTTCACCTTTTGATGTTGTTGTGTAATAAAGCATTTGGTCACAACTCTTTTTTATTTACTTATATACTGTTGTTGGAAGCCACTCAATCAATTCCAACTCAACGACCGCATGTGACAGTGTAGAACTTCCCATATGGCGTGCTTGGCTGTAGTCTTTTTTTTTAATTGTCTCAAAATGACCAAACTCTGGCTTTTAATTTTTGCCTGCAATCTCTATGGAAGCAGATCTCTAGGACATTCTCCCCTAGAGTCTCTGGGAGAGTTTAGACCATGAACCTTTGGTTAGAAATCTAGCACTGTTGTGGTCCAGGACTTCATATAAAGACAAACACATATATAACAAAACTCAGTGCCATCCAGCCAATTCCAGCTCATAGCAGCCTTATATAGACTTTCCAAAGCGTTATAGAAGCAGATAACCACTTATTTCATGGCGTGCAGATCTTTCAGAAGCAGGTAGCCCTCATCCTTCTTCCACGGGGCAGTGGTGGGTTTGAACCCTGGACCTTAGAGTTAGCAGTCAAATGCTTACCCTATAGCACCACCAGGGCTCCCTTATAATAGCAGCCTCTAATGAATGTGCGGCCGTTAACTCTCCGGCCAGTTACCTCATGTGTAGGAATACTCATCTTTCCAGGCACAAGGCCATAAAGCTGTGGCATCCTGGCCAGTTTAAGGACACCTAACTGACCAACCTCATACTCTCTCTACTCTCCCATCCTGCCCTTCCCTCCTCCCCTCTGCCTTATCTTTCTTTTCCTGGGTGGACAGGATTTAAAAGAACATGAAAACCAATTGACTAGGCCACTCCGAGGAAAGATGGAGAGTTCTGATAGAGCAGAGTGCGAGGCCAAGCCCCGAAGAAGGGTGGTTGTTACCATGGTGGTGTCTAAAGTTCATGGAGCCAAGTCATACAGGGGACAAGGAGTCCCCACCTACCTACAGGTCGAGCCCTGGAAACCGGAAACAGCTCTTGGCTGCCTTGGACAAATCAGGTCTGGTGTCTCAAGTGGATACTACTCCAGCTTGTGTCAAAGCCTGGTGCGTGGTTTCTTTTTCTCTTCCAGGATCATCTTGGAAATAGATGAGCCAGCTTCAAATCATAACGGTGGACAGCTCCTTTTTGGCCTGGATGGCTATCTGTACATATTCACTGGGGATGGGGGACAGGCTGGAGACCCCTTTGGCCAGTTTGGAAACGCTCAGAACAAGTAAGTAAGGTGGAGGTAGGGTCCCTGTCCTCGTGGGACAAGATTTCAGTTGAGATGGAGTCCCTCGAGTGCCAAGTCCAATTCACCTCCTGCAACATGTTGTCTCCTTTGTTGAGGCAGCGGGAGGGACATTAGGTTTTCGATCTATAAATCTCGGGTATAGATGAATGAATATTTGAACTGCTCTGTGTTACACAGAGTGCTAGGCTAAGAAGAACTCAGAATTTTCAGTGAATATGGTTGCGTGCCATCCATTCATTTTTAGCGAAGTCCTAGAGGGCTGGTATGAGTCCGATTCGACTCCATGGCAGTGAGTTTACTCTTATTTACTTTTGTTAGAGGACAAAGTAAAACGGCTCCATGTGGTTTCCCAGGCTAGCCGCTTTACAGGAGCAGATCGTACAGTGAACCACCGACCCTTTGCTTAGCAGCCAAGCGCTTACCGAAGGCTTCTTTGCATACGCTGGCAAACCTTGTTATATTGCAGGCCGCCAAATTGTGCTTTGCAGATATTTTGCTTTGAACAAAGTGAAGGCTTGCAGGACTGCCCCGTTGAGCAGGATGGTTGGGGCCGTTTGCCAATAGTGTGTGCTCGCTTCATGTCTCTGTCACATGTTCGCAATACACGTAGTATGTCCACCTTTTTCATAATGCTGTTGCACACTGAATGGACCCACTCACTGTCACTGAGTTGATAGCGAGTCTGTAGGACACAGGAGAACTGGTCTACTGGGTTTGTGAGTCTGTAAATCTCCACAGAAATAAACAGCCTCATCTTTCTCCGTCTGAGCAGCTGGCTGGTTTGAACTGCCGGCTTTGGGTTTAGCAGCCCATTTCCTAATGCAATGCATGACCAGGGCTCCTTGGTGGACTACCGTAGACTGTCAACCTAACTCTGAAATACATTGGGAAACCAGAAGGGTCTGGAACTCACTTTATTGTGATACTCACTCTATTGCTGCAATATGGGACTGAGCCCACAATAGCTGTGAGGTAAACTTACATTAGCCAGATGTTATTTGACACACCAAGATCTGATCATGCAATTCAAGTCGTGCTATTGACACTCGCTGTCTTCCAGGCACTGTACTAGATCTGGTGGACACTTGAGAGGTTTAGGTAGCAGAGGCAGCATCCATCAGAGATCTCGTGGCTTTGGTTACTCTAGATTTCCAAACTCACTGCCATCCAGTCGATTCTGACTCATAGGGACCCAACAGGACAGGGCAGAACTGTCCCTGGAGGTTTCTGAGACTGACTCTTTACAGGAGTAGAAAGCCGTGTCTTTGTCCCTTGGAGTGGCTGGTGATTTCAAACTACTGACCTTGTGGTTTGAAGGTCAGCCCCATGTGTAGCCACTGTGCTACCAGGGTTCCCGGGCTTGGTTACAGACCACGGAAAGAAATTGAAGATCCCCATAGAGTGAGTCACACACATTTTGGGGCTGCCCAGAGCATAGAAAAGTTATGTTTACACTAAACTGTAGCATATTATCTGAGTCAGTGGGTTGTCTGAGTTGATGGCAATCAGTTTGAGGGTTTCTTTGGTTTGTTTGTTGAGAATTGTATCAAGTTCAATAAAACCAAATCCAGCCCACCACCATCAAGTCATTCTGACTGATAGAGACCCTGTAAGACAGGATGGACCTGCCCCTGTGTGGTTCTGAGACTGTAACACTTTACAGGAGTAGAAAGCCTCATCTTTCTCCCTTGAAGTGGCTGATGGTTTCGAACTGCTGACCTTGTGGTTAGTAGCCTGATGTGTAACCATGACACCACCAGCGCTGGTCAGTGTGCAAAAGCATTATGAAAAAGTGTGAAGCAGTATGAGGATTCCAAAACGTGAGACAGAAACATAAAGCGTGCCCATGCTGTTGGAAAAAATGGCACCGAGAGATGCAGGGTGGCCACAGAACCTTCGGTCTGTAAAAAGGACACTGTCTGGAAGGGCAGTAATGCAGAGGACAATAAAGCGAGGTGTGCTTGGGATAGGTAATGCACAGTGGGTGCTTCCTCCATGCGAGCTGCTGTTTTAAATACTAGACTTGTGTTCAATCATGCGATTCTCATTGCCCCTGAGGTTAAGAAATTTTTATTTGCTTTGTTCCTGGATACAGACACCCCAGTCACCTAAATGTCAGTACCAGAACATCACTCAATAAGTAGTTCTAGAGCGAATGATTCTTACGGTGCACAGGTTTCACGATATGTATTTCCCCAGCAAGAACACTGAAGCACACAGGAGTAAAGTAGTGTGTGCAGGGTCTCCCACAAGTAAGTGCAGAACCAGACTTTAAACTTAGATGCTCTGGCACCGGAGCCTAACGATGCTATGTTGCTTAGATCAAGGGTAAATGACCCTCTCTCTGCCTTTGCACCCAAGAGTACTTGGGTCATATTGTTTTTAATGATAACAACACTGAGGTTAATCATGATAAAAAGCTGCTGTTTGCTGAATGCCTATTTTGTATTAGGACTTGAACTGACAACTCTAAGCACAATAACTAATTTCATACTTACATCAGCATCACACTGCAAAGCAGAGTCACTCTCCTCTGTTTATGAATGAGGAAGCCGCGACCCAGAAACCCTTGTCATTGACAGAAGCCCTCTGTTCTTAGGCTGTGGATGACGGTCGGAGCCCAACATCCATTTGCAGAGTCCCTGCATGGATAAAGCCTCTGGTGAATCCCCTCTGACCGTATTCGAGGGATGTGAATAGACTTACTATCAGAGAGTATTGTAGAATCGATTATGGCAGATGCACTTAGGTTGAAATGTATTCCTGGATCTTTCGATCTACCTTTTGACCCATTGTAAATTCAGGATAGGTAAATCTATACAGACAGTAGCTGGATTAGTAGTTTATTGAGGATATGGAGTGGATATTGGAGAGAAAGTGGGAGTCAACAATGAGAAATGTTCAAGGACTGATTGCAGTGGTGATTATTCAATCCTTTAATATGACTGAACTATGGAAGTGTATGATATGTCAATTATATGTCAATCAAACGACTAAAAAATTAATAAAGTCACTAGCTAGTAAGAAGTAAGTAAATCCGCGGTTCTTAACCTGTGGGTCATGACCTCTTTGGGCATTGAACAACCTTTCACGGGGGTCGCCCAATTCATAACAGTAGCAAAATTTCAGTTGTGAAGTAGCAACGAAAATAATTTTATGGTTAGGGGTCACCATAACATGAGGAACTGTATTAAAGGGTGGCAGCATTAGGAAAGTTGAGAACCACTGAAGTAAATAAATAAATCACAGCTTTCTGTTCTTTTATTTAGGACTACAATGCTATACAAGGACAAACACCTTTTTTGTTGTTTATGCTTAAAGGCCTTTGTTTTATTTATTTATTATCTACATTTATTATATATATATATATATATAAATCATTTTATTGAGGGCTTGTACAGCTCTTATTACAATCCATACATATATCCACTGTGTCAAGCACATTTGTACATTTGTTGTCATCATCATTTTCAAGACATGTTCTTTCTACTTGAGCCCTTGGTATCAGCTCATTTTTTCCTCTCCTTCCCTGTTCCCCCTCCCTTGTGAATCCTTGGTAATGTATAAATTATTATTTTTTCATGTCTACATATACAGATGTCTCCCTTGACCTACTTTTCTGTTGTCCATCCCCCAGGGAGGGGTTATATGTAGGTCATTGTGGTCGGTTCCCCCTTTCTTGCCCCACCTCCCCCTCCCCCTCCTGGTATGGCTATTCTCAATATTGGTCCTGAGGGGTTTATCTGTCCTGGATTCCTTGTGTTTCCAGCTCTTGTCTGTACCAATGTACATTCTCTGGTCTCGCTGGATTTGTAAGGTAGAATTGGAGTCATGATAGTCAGGGGAGGAAATATTTAAGAATTAGAGGAAAGTTGTATGTTTCATCGATGCTATAGTGGGCCCTGACTGGCTTATCTCTTCCTTGGGACCCTTCTGAAAGGGCATGTCTAATTGACTACAGATGGGCTTTGGGTCTACACTCTTCCCTCCTGATATGGTTCACACAGATATGATTTTTTGTTTTGTTTTGGGTTTTTAATGCCTGACACCTGATCCCAGGACAAAGATCTTTTAAAAAGTCAGAATATGATTTATTGAGCCCTGCTCTCTGGGCTACATTAGTAAATCCAAGATTCATTCTTGGTCACGATTCAGTCCATAAATTGGCTTCATTAGCTTCAGAATTCAAGGCTGACGGAAGATCAGCTATTGAGTTAACTCTGGGCATTCATTCAGCAAGCTGTAAGCTCGCTGACGCCATGGTGTTTGGCTAACATTGAAAATCTCAAACCATGTTAGATTCCAACTGTAGCAGTTAGCACAGCAGTGGTGATCCTATGGCCTTCCTCCATGCATTTCTGGACGTGAGCCACAGTTTCTTCGTTCATCAAGGCTGATGTTCTTCCCTCCCTTGGTTCATCTTTGAGGTCTTCCCCACCTTCACCAAAGTGCTGGATTCATCCAAACACTGTTGCTTTATGTGGGGTAACATTCCCTTAAAGTAGTTGCTAAGCTTCCATGATTTGTCCACTTGAACTCTGTTACAAATTTGTTATTAACTTTGACCTCAAATTAATTTCCACCCCCCCACCCCATGGTACAAAAGGTATTCTCTTTTTGAAGATACCTCATGGAGGCTAAGACACATGTATTGTTGGGAGATCTTGTCAGCAGCCATTTGTCAATCACAAAGAGACATATCTAAACATGTTTTGTGTAGAATAAGCCCATATATGTTCTCATAGTTCACTCAGTTATAACGAATGCCCTGCAGATTGATTTTTGTTATATTATGCTTAAGGACTCATCGTTATTCTTTATGGCTGCATAATATGCCATTGTATGGCTATACTACTTTTTGTTTATCCACTCATATGGATGAAAGGCACTTAGGTGGTTTGCATTTTTAAAAATATTGTAAATAGTGCTGTAACAAACATAGGCATGCAAAACAAAAGCATGCGTCGTATGAGATGGATCCTATGAGAACACCATTGCCGCTGCTACACTATAAATATAGACGCTGGAATTTGCACAGGGACCCTTAGGCCAGGATTACACCAAACCTCTGTACCCTAGTTCTCTTGAAGGCAAGAATGGGGAAGTCAACAGCTTAAAAAAATAAGTTATGTCTAGCATTCTGACTCACGGTGAGTCTGTGTGTCAGATACAGCTTGCTCCAAGGATATTTAATGGCTGACTTTTGGGGAAGGAGCTTGCCAGGCCTTTCTTCCCAGGCATCTCTGGGTGGACTCAAACTTTTGGTTAGCAACGAATATGTTAACCAGGGACTCCATCTTAACCGCGTATGAATGCTGACATGTGTTGTTTAACATTCGATTGAGCAATATCCAATCACATGTTAATCCATGGGCCACAACACCCAGCAGTCTGAGTGCCAGGGCCCCGGACTCTCATCTGGAGGCCAGAGCCCCGGTTCTGCCAGGTTACTTTCCAGTCTGTGGTGATGGAGACCTAGGGTCAAGTTCCCAATCCCCTCCCCGCTCAGTTCCCACAACTCGGTGGGACCTGTCCCTGCTCTCCAGCCAGTGTGGTCCTCTAGGAAAGAAAGGTATGTGCTGGGTGCCCCAGGCCTGGCTCAGGTGACCTCAGTCCCCTTGGACCTGGCTCTTCCTTCCCTGGGCTGGTTCTCTTGGCCGAGTTGGCCTTCCCTGTAGATGGCTTAGCACAGAGGTGGTGCAGCTGGGAGACAGCGTCTGCAGTGGGAATTGCCAAGGCTGTGCAAGACACACTGCCCCTGACGCAGTGCAGATAGGAGCCTCGTCACCCGGAGACCCAGGGGTTTACACAGCATCCAAATCACATAACACCCTGTTTCCTAGAAAGTATCACGAATGGTAAGTGATACTGTATTTAAAAGAAAATAAAAAATCCTCTCTCCATGGTGCCCGGAGCAGTAGCTTAGTGCTGACCCTCAGCAGGCCCTACTGGGGAGTCCCCTTGGGGTCTGTGCCTTGGCTAACCTTCTTCCTTTGTGACCTCCTTCCTTTCAGAAGCTCCCTCCTGGGAAAGGTGTTACGGATCGATGTAAACGGGGCTGGCGCAGAGGGCAAGCGATACCGAGTTCCTCCGGACAACCCCTTTGTATCCGAGTCAGGGGCACACCCCGCCGTCTATGCCTTTGGGGTCAGGAACATGTGGCGCTGTGCCGTGGACCGCGGGGACCCCATCACTCGGCGGGGCCGCGGCCGGCTCTTCTGTGGGGATGTCGGTCAGAACAGGTTTGAAGAAATCGACCTCATTGTTAAAGGCGGAAACTACGGCTGGAGAGCCAAGGAAGGGTTTGAATGTTACGACAAAAAGCTGTGCCACAATGCCTCGTTGGGTGAGTACGAAGCTCTTGGAGAAGCGAGTGGGCTGTGGGAGGAAAGGAGGAGAATCCGAGAGACTGCCCACGGCCCAGATTTGTTGCTGGTGTTCAAGTGGGTCCCAGACCCCATGTGACCTGCCCATCGGACTACTGGCTGGCTTTGGAAGAAGATTGCCAACCGGTTCTTCTTAGCCTTCGTCTAGAAATTCTATGGAGATCTGTTTAGTAGCATAGGACCTTGTACGGTGGCTGTCGTTAAGGTGCATTGAGCAGGAATTGAACCTGGGTCCTCCTGAATGACCAATGCCTCATGGCAGGTTCTTGAAAGAGTTCCTTAACTGAGGTCTATGGGCCGGTGCTTCTCAGAGTGTGGCCCCTGAATTACCTCTGGGGGTGCTTGTTAAAAAGTAGATTCCTGCGCACATCCTCAGACCTGCTGGGCTTGATTCTTGGGTGGACTGAGAACAGAGGAAGGATTTAGGAATAGTTTAATACCTTACCCATGTATTTAGGCAAGGTGTTTTAAGAGCTACTTCCGAGGAAAAACTAGTGGCTCTGTGTTTGAGGGCGCCCTGGGGGAGTAGTGAGTTACACACTGGGCTGCCCGCCCTAGGTCGGCGGTATGGCAATCACTAGCAGGAGAAAGACGAAGCTAATTGTGTCCCCAAAGATTGACAGCCTTAGAAACAGGGACGATTCCACTCTGTGCTAGAGGGTTGCTGTGAGTCAAAATCAGCTTGATGGCAGGGAGTTTGGTTTTTGAGAGTTTAGCTTATCACCATGATTTAGCCTTTTTCTGGATTCTAAGCGACAAACCACAAAATAAAACTCAACTATGGACACAAACATACCAAGGACCATGAAGATAGTATAGGGCTGGAGCATGCTTCCTTTTGTTATACGAGAAGGCTTCAAAACGGTCATGGGAAAATGACATGATCTTTGCATTCCACCTGACATGAACTTCTACGACCCGACCCTGGTGATGGGTTGCCTCAAGTTACACTGACACTTCTACAGCTGGCAGCAACCAAGTTACAAAGCAGGGATCCAGACCCCCACTCTTTTCCTGAGCCTCACATCGGAGTAGCCAACGTATCAACCTTAGAGAAAAACTTAGGTAGGTGGATTTCCAGGTCACTGCCTCATTAGAGAGCCCTGGGGTGCAGAGGGCTACCAGTGGAAATGTCAGTAATTTGAACCCACCAGTTGCCCCATGAGAGAAAGATGAGACTGTTTCAGTAAAGATTTATAGCCTGTAGGGTGGTTCTCTTCTGTCCCATAGGGTAAGGTGACCAGACGTCCCGCTTTTGGCGGGACAGTCCCGATTTTTAACAATTTTTCCCCGCATCCCGCGGCATTTTAAAAAAATCCTGATTTTTGGAAAGAAGGTACGACAAGCTAGGGTATACGGTTTTTGGCTGCCATATGGCTATTTCGCCAGGATATGAGTTTTATTAATGGTGTCCCTCTTTTGTCCCGCTTTACCAATGTTAAAATCTGGTCACCTTACGATAGGGGCACTATGAGTTGGATTCTTTTGGGATTTGGCCCCCCAGATGGGAGAAAATTTGTTATTCTCCTCCGCCTACAGATGGCAGTCAAATGGGAGCTCACAAAACCAATGGCTAGTCTGCTGGGTACAATAACCTTGGTTGCCTGTTCTACTGAAGACCAAGAGCTAAGGTACCTCCAGTGGATCAGGTACCAGGCACCTGTACTCAACAGCCCCTTTCTTCCTTCTTGACACTCTCACTTTTGACCATGACTGTCACTCTCTTTCTTTGCGCCCTGACAGATGACATCCTGCCGATCTACGCATATGACCATATGGTGGGGAAGTCGGTCACTGGAGGATATGTCTATCGTGGGTGTGAATCCCCAAACCTCAGTGGCCTCTACATATTCGGAGACTTCATGAGTGGGTATGGAAGGGTTGATGCCTCCCTTCTCTTTGATTGTTTTAATGTTCTTATTGAAGTCTAACTTATGTATGAAGGAACTTCGAAAACTTTGTGGAAAAATTCCATTATCTTTTAGTTTCATTTTCCCGTGAACTTTTGTAGTGAATGAAACATAAATTATTAAAACAAACCTTTTTATGGTGAATTAGGTGAATGTTTACAGAACAAGATCATCAGTTTTATATTCAAAAATTCATACACATGTTGTTTTAACTCACAGTGCTGGCCCCTCATGCTGCCCCTACTTACTCCCACGTCTTCCACCCTGTTTCTGGTTTCCATTCCTCCTTGTGTGCTAACCCTCCAAATGCTGCCCTGGGGTGAATGCTACCTCTTTGACTTTAAATAGTTGATTATTCTCATAAGAGAGTAAGTTAAGTTCCAGATCTGAAGGGGGACTAATAGTGCTAGTCTTGGTGTGTGCGCGCGCGCGCGCGTAGTAAGCCTGGTCTCTTTTATAATTTTGAGTTCTGTTCAAAATTCTTAAAGGCAGCGATGGATAGTGTTGTAAATAAACACAATAGTATTGTCACAAACCTTATTAAGACACAGAACAGTTCTCCTACTCTAGAATGTTCCTTCTTGCTTATTTCCTGTCAACACCATCACCTCTCTCTCTCTCTTTCACACCCCACCCCACACACAGACATACACACACACCCCAGCAAGAGTTAACCACCATTGATCTCTTTCATCACTGATTGCTTTGGCTTCTGGGAGTTTGTACAGTATAAAATCACACAGTATATACTTTTGTGTGTGTGTGTACCTGTTTTTTGTTTTTGTTTTCATTCAGTAAATGTCTATGAAATTCATCAATGATTGTATCTATCAGTAGTTTGTCTTTCTATTGCTTTGTAGTATTTTACTGTATCCATACACTACAACATTAATTTTTTTCTCCTGTTGATAGAGATGACTACTGTCTCCAGTTTGAGGATGTTGTAAATAAAGTGTTATAATTTTTCATAGATTTCAATGTATATGTCTTGTATATTTCATCATTTAATTTTTTTTTTAGATGAGGTTGTGAAAAATGTTTTGATAAATGTCATATTCTGGTTATTCACCATTACTTTATAGAATATTGAGATTAAGTGCTTGGGGCTGAAAAGTAGGCAGTCAGAAACCACCAGCTATTCCTGCACGCACGCACACACACACACACACACACACACACACACACACACTCACACACGCACACTCACACACACACACAGAGAGGATTGGCAACTTAGCTGAACTCACTGGTTCTAGGTGCTTTTTGTTGATTCTGTTTGATTTTAATGTAGAACATAGTTTTGCCTATGAATATAGGTAATTTTATTTTTTAATTGGGATCCCTTGATTATTTATTTTATTGCTATATGTTCAAATTTAAACCTTCAGTACAGTTTTGAATAGCAGTGGGGGAAAGAAAGCAATAGCTATGATATAAAATTGTGCTTTGAATGTGCCTTTTGTAAAATTGAGAAAGTTTCTTTCTATGGTTTGCTGAAGGTTTGTATTAGGTATGGATGTTGATTTTTTTCTCAAATGATTTTTATGCAGCTATTGAAATAATTGTGGGGAAAAAAGAAATAATTGTGTAGCTTTTTCCTTTTCAATTGTTAATATGGTGAATTACACTATGCTTTTTCCACTGTTAAAGCAATGTCACATTCCTGGGATAAGCACCACTCATTGGAGTATTATGTATCATTCTTTATATAGGCTGCTGGATTCCATGTGCTAACATTATAGGAAAGTATCTCTCATCTTCAGCTATCTTGAAGAGTTTGGGTAAAACTGGTATTATATCTTCTTAGATGATTCTTCCTTATAAGTGAAGCCACTTGGGGCTGGAGTTTTCTTTGTAGAAGTATGTTTGCAGAGTCAACTACCTTAAGAGATAAAGACAATTCCGTTCATCTGTCCTTGGGTCTCTCCCTGCTTAAGCTTTAGTAGTCTGAGTCTTTCAAGGGATTGAGCCATTTCACCTCAGTTCAGTTGTCAAATGTATTGGTATAAATTTGCTCATTATGTTCCTTTATTATCTTCTTACTACCTGTAAAAGCCATATTGATGTGAAATATCGCATCCCAGAGCCTGGTAATTTGTGCCTTCTCACACTCTCTCTCACTTTTGCTTAGTTTAAATCTTGTTTATAATAAACTTTATAAATCTCAAAGAAGCAGCTTTTGGTTTTAATGATTTTTTTTCGAACTGCATTTTTATTCTCCATCCCAGCCCCGCCCTGTTTTATATGGCATTGATCTGTGCTCTGCTCTTTATTGTTTCTTTCCTTCTACTTGCTGTGGATAGATTTGCTCTTCTGTCACTCATTCACTCACTCACCTACTCAAAGAAGAATGCATGCATTTGAATTGTGAGGTTGGTGAAGGATATCGCTAGGACTGTGGACTTCCAAAAGAACAAACACATCTGTCTTGGAAAGAGACCAGAGAAAGCTTCTTCGCAGTAAGGATGGTGAGCCTTCATCCCATGCACTTTGGGTATATAATCAGGAGAGGCCAGTCTCAGGTGAAGAACATAATGTAAAGTGCAGGGTCAGAGGGAAAGGGGAAGACCTTCAAGGAGATGGACTGACACCGTGGCTGCACCAATGGGTTCAAATCTCACAATGATTGTTGAACTTGGGCCACTTTGAGATGAAACCTGACAACATTGTTAGGTTCAGTCCACACAAATATTATGTATCCTTGATGAATTAATTGCTTTATCATTTTGAAATGAGCTTCTAATATTTTTTTTAGCAATAGTCTTTGCTTTGGAGTCTACTTAGTATAATGTTATTATAGCCATGCTAAGTTTTGATTAGTGTTGGTATGGTATATTTTTCTCCACTCTCAGTTTTGACTTGTTTGTGCTTCTTATACTTAAAGTGTGCTTCTTGTAGGCAGAACATAGTCGTCTTGTTTTTATCGCTAGCCCACATATTCTGTGCTTTTTAACTGAGATTTTGAGTATATTGAATACGATGACTGACATTTTTGTTGTATGTTACCTGGGGGAGATCCTCACTCACAATGACCCATATGCGCAGAGAAGGGGTTCAAGGCTTTGCCCTCTGGAAGCAGCTCTCTCGGTCTTTCTTCCAATGCACCTTTAGTGGTTAGTAGTTGAGTGCTTACCTATGTGTGCCACCCTGGCACTCCTGATTATTGATAACAAACAAACAAACAAACAAACAAACCCAAACTCACTGCCATTGATCAAGTAGATTCCAACTCATGGTGTCCCTATAAGGAGGGGGTAGAACTGCCCTTCTGGGTCTCTGAGACTGTCTTTCTCCTGAGAAGTGACTGGTAGTTTTAAACTGCTGATCTTGTGGGTCACAGCCCAAGATTGTAACCACTACACCACCAGGGCTCCTGTGATTATTGATTCAATTTAATTTAAAACCAGGAGCTAGAAAAGGCAAGAAAAGAGAATCTTTACTAGAGTTCCTGGAGGGAGAACAACCATACTAGTATCCTTTATTTTATTTTTTTAATAGGCTTTCCTTTTTTTATTGTCGTTGTTTTTTTTATTATCATTTTATTAGGGGCTTATACAACTCTTATCACAATCCATACACACATCAATTGTGTAAAGCACATTTGTACATTCATTGCCCTCATCATTCTCTAAACATTT